TCATAAAAAGTTCATTATCAATCTACGATAATTTCTACGATAATAAAAAATCAGTATTCACGCTGATGCGGATTGGTAATGTGTATTGGTTATAGGCCTAGCAAATTATGTTTTAATTGTTTTAAACAAAAAATTATTTTTTTAATTATGTCTTGTTAGGTGAATAGTTATACAACTTTCTGTATTAAATAAAGTTGACTTTAACTAGTTTACTACACCAACCAAGTACACCACAAGTGCAAGTACTTTTTATAAAAACATTCTTTAAAAGTAATAGTAATTTTACTACAATTTTTTATGGATTAAGGAATATGAGTAATTTTTTTATTATTATTATTATTTTCCGATCATCTTCGCAATTTTCAAATTTTTAATACTATTATATATATATTGAAAATTTTCTATATCTACTCTGTGCTATTCTAATGAAGATTGTGAAATGTTTCTTATGCAAAAGAAATTTTATTTTTGAAAAATATCTAAAATTATTTTAAATATTATTATCATTCAAGTAATACAATATATGTATTAGATTATCGATGGTTTAAGAATCAATGTTATTAAAATTTAAATGACTTATTATGATCGGATAGATTGAACTGTCCTAATGTAATCGAATTTTGAATAAGAAGCACGTATTCATAAAATTTTATTTTTTTAAATATCAAATAATTCTTATTTTTATGTCGATTATGATATAATTCTGTTTAAACTTTTATTTTTTAAATTTTACGATAAAGCTATAATTTTCTTAACCGAAAACGATTGATACGGAATGTTTTTAGGAAGAACAAACTGTTATTAAAAATTAGAATATTGAAATCTAAGAGATTACATATGTTAATTAAAAACTCAATTATAAAAAAATTTAAATGGAAATTGGTATGTATAATAAATTTATCAATAATATAACAGATGCTCGAGTATGTTCATTCTATGATAACATTTATTCTTACTTGGCTTACATTTAGTGTAGTAAAATAGAAATGTTTTTAAATATGGAAATTTGTAATGTTTGATTTTTAATTTTAGCAACTGTAATATGGTTACAATTGAATGCGCGAAGTTTTAATACCGTAAACATGATTTTCCACACTTTTAAAATTTATACAATTTTGAAATTCGTTCTATTACACAGTTATAGTTTTAAAGATAGAAATAAATCGTTTTATCAACTTAGATTATTAATATTATAAATTATAGTATAGTATCTCTTTCTGTATTTTTTCTTTAACGAAAAAGTTGAAAATATATTTATTACTTAATTTTAGGTGGCTTTTTCAATTATACAATAAATATGAAATTGTTTTCATGGTATAGTATTATTGAAAATAAAATATAATTTGAATACGTCCATTCAAATACCTTTTCTATTTTTAATAGTTTCATCAAAAAAATATACAGCTAATTTCTTGTATAAATATTAATTATCAAAAATATCAATAAGTCTTTGAAAATGAGAATTCGCTAATTGAATACAGTAATCATTTAATTTGATATGATAATAGTAAAGTACATACTGAGGTATGTAAATAATCTTAAGAATCAGCCTTAATTAAATAGCTATATATGAAATGCAAAAAAAAACAAAAGCTACGGGTTTATTAGTTTTCCTACGTTCGATTATATTTACAGTTATATATTTATAAAAACAGTACATAGCACTCATTTAATAATTTTATAAATTTTATACTTTTTCTCTCCATTCAATTTTTTTATAGTCTATACGAAATGTGTTGAAATTATTTATTTATTGTGCATAAATTGTGACTGTTTTATTTAACGAATACAAGATTATGAATAAATTAAGACAAATTGTATCTGAATTAATAGTTGCTGTAACATAATTAAATATTTTATTACGTTAGAAATAGTCTAAATTCTTATGTATTTATCAGCTACTATATTTAATTATAGTTTACAAGCATCATTTACCTTGCGAAAGCTAGGAATAAGTCAGAAAATGCGTTGAGACAGCATGAATGGTTATAAATAAAATGTACGTGATTGACACAGAGTCTGTAAAAAGTAATAAACACAAAGAACTGAAGCTGTTAAAGAAAGAGAATCATATTACTTTGCTCAATCTTATTATTGTAAGATGGCCTTTACTAATTTAATAATGATAAATACACCGTTTTTAACTTTTAGTTCATGAGTATATTTTTAAAGCTTTTGTATTGTTCAAAAACTCAATTAAAAGAATTTGAAATATATAAAATATAATGCAATACATTTTTGAAGAGCTTAAAAATTGGTGTTCAATATTAACGAAGATATTCCAGTTCGTTAAAATGTATAATTTTGTATAATATAATAATTTATAATGTATATAATTGACTTTTTTGTCTATGTATCATTATACAACTATGCGTCTATAAAAATATTTGTTTTATTTTAATGTTAAAAAATTTTAAAAGCAAATAGTATTTTAGTATGTATAAGAAAAAGAATTTTGTAAACATTTATATATAAGTATATTAAAAATAATTTTTTATGCAAATTGAATTAATAAATATGGCTAAAATTGAATTTTATTTACATGCATTGATTCAAGATTGAGTTTAAAAAGTTTATTTTTAAATATCAGCAAGTAGAATGCAAAGTGATTAAATTTTAGAATAGAACATTAGATTATTTTTTATTTTTTAATAAACCTAACTTATCTGTTTGCATTAAATAGAATTTTTGATAAAATTTTTATACACACACACACTTATATATATATATATATATATATATATTTATTTATTTATTTATTGGTAATAAGAAAATTTATGTAGGTATTTTATTTTTTATATTAAACATGAGCTTAATAATTATTATGTATGATTAAAAAATATATTTTACCAACCGTCGTTCTAATATTTCGGCTGTAATATTGTATTGTGCTTTTGCTTAGTAACTCACTATTCGTACTGCTTTCATAAACATCTTGTGTAAATTTAATTGTATTGGAATATTCTTATTATAATAATGTAATGATTTATATAATAATAAAATAATTGATATTTAATTGAAAAAGAGAATTTGCAAAATTCCCTTTTGTCTTTAGTATACTTATTAAAACTCATTTGTTAATTTTAATAGATGCTTCTTGTCCAACATGGTATGAAGCATTAAACATGAATTTAATTATTAGTTTTTGAAAATAATTACTCTCTTAATTTCAATACAAGTAAAGTTATTTGTTATCATATTAAATCGTATACATTTTATTTATAGAAGTTTCTGTAACATAATTAGAAATTTTATTATTATTCATTTATTTTGATATTCAAACTGCTTTTTATAATTATTTTAAGAAAGATTAAATAACTTAGTAGTAGGTGTATTATTGTCAATACATACTTTATTATGAGTACTATAAACTTTTCTAAAGCTGATAATTTTAGATACATTGTACACCTCATAATTTAGTTGGATATTTTATGATGTTTCTATCTGTATATCAAAATAAAATTCAACAAGTATACCGAAAACTAATAGAAATTTGAGAATATAAAATAAACAGCAAATTTTTAAATCGTGTAGTTTAAACAGTTTATAATTTTTATTTGAAACCTTTTTTTGTCTACGATTGTTAGGAAATTAACAAATTAAACATCCTTCTCCAGTGATATTTATTCAAATGAAACTGTTATAGAGTTAGCAATTTCTGTTGAATTGTATTTTTCAGATACCATCGTTATTATTTACGTCACTAAATAGAATACAGTGTATAATTCTATTTATTGGCATAATTATGTTGTCAGATTAAGAACTATTGGTAATTAAAGAATGCATAGATTCGTTAAAATTAAATTCAGAATCAAGAATCGATCTAATTTATTTCTTTTAATCGAATTATCAAATTAAGATAGTAAAATAAGATTTCATTTGATAAAATTTCATATTTATTTCATTCATATTGAATAATTGTTTGGATTTTTCAACCGCATAATCATAAAACTTATTTAAACTATTGACTATCGACCCTTTAATTAATACATATAATGAAGTTCAAAATATTTTTATATTAATATTTAACATTACTTGAATATAATTTTGATTATATTTAATTCAAATCTACCAAAATTTTCAAACAGAATTGAAATTATAAATTTATATTTGTCAAGATATAATAATAATACGAAATTTAACAGAATTTCGTATTTCTTTTTTGTTTTATCGACAACGTGAAAATGTATATTTCATATGAAGTATATTTTGATAACACTGTAAACTAGACGTTGCCTTAAAACTACTATTAACTCGCTTAGAATTTTTGTAAAATCTACAATAATTTTCAGATTCCTTGTAAATTTATGGAAGATTAAAATTTAAAAGCTATGATAAAACTACAAATAGTATAAGTACCGTAAATAAAAATGCCGTACAAGGCATTTTTAGACACAGTCTATCTATTTTAATTTTTTTAGATTGTGATAAAAGTTTTAAGAAAATGTTTGTAATATATATTTAGAAAGATGTCTTTTATGGAATTTACAAAGTATATTTAATCCTTACGATATATTATTCATTGAAATCTCAAGTGAAAATTGATTAGAAATTATGGTCTTAAATACAAAAATGAAGTCAAATTGGTGTGGAAATATAATTATTAAAGCAAATTTATTGACGAAAAATACTTAAATATTGAAATATTGTTATCTCATATAAAATTATAAGCTAGATAGTTTAACATAGGCGTATACGAGATAATATTTTTATTTATAAGAATATTGATACTTCACAACTCTGTCGTTATTAAATTAATCTTGGATCATGATTTTTGTTAGCATTATAATAAATCAAGAACAGAACGATAAGAAATCGTTTTATAGTATTTATTTGGTTGAAATGTAAGTGGAGTTTCGAAATATACATATATAGTCATAATAAAATTTTGCCTTTAATAATATCGTGATAAAATATATATTATATATTTATGTATTAAATTTTTAAAACTATTGCAACTTTTTCATTAAAAATAATTCTTATTAATATGCATGTTATAGATTACTTTAGAAGCTATGAAATCAGAGACAGATGATGTGTCTTTACAAGGAATTGAATTTTGGTCAAATGTTTCGGACGAAGAAGTTGATCTTTCTATGGAAGAAGGAGAAGCATCAGAAGGAGGACGTCCACCATCTAAAGTCTCGCGACATTATGCAAAAGGAGCTCTTCAATATTTAGTACCAGTATTAATGCGAAAATTAACTAAACAAGAAGAATTCGACGATGAAGATGATTGGAATCCTTCGAAAGCCGCAGGTGTTTGTTTAATGTTACTTGCATCTTGTTGTGAAGAAAGTATTGTTCCATATGTACTTCCTTTTGTAAAAGACAATATAAAAAATCCTGATTGGCGATATCGCGATGCTGCTTTAATGGCATTTGGATCTATTTTAGGAGGTTTAGAACCAGTAACATTAAGGCCTTTGGTAGAGCAAGCTATGCAGACTTTAATTGAGTTGATGTATGATGGTAGTGTTGTTGTACGAGATACAGCTGCATGGACATTTGGAAGAATATGTGAAATAATTCCTGAAGCTGCTATAAATGAAACTTATTTTAAACCATTATTAGAATCATTAGTAAATGGATTAAAAGCAGAACCACGAGTAGCGGCCAATGTTTGTTGGGCTTTTACAGGACTTGCAGAAGCCAGTTATGAATCTGCTGAATGTATCGAAGAAGGAAAACAACCAGAAACATATTGTATGTCTCATTATTTTGATTTTATTATTCATAGACTTCTAGAAACTACTGATCGATTAGATGGAGCTCAAGCAAACTTAAGATCTGCTGCCTACGAAGCTTTAATGGAGATGGTAAAAAATTCACCTCGTGACTGTTATGTAACTGTACAGAAAACTACTATGGTAATCTTAGAACGTTTACAGCAAGTTATGCAAATGGAATCACATATACAAAATCATTCTGATCGAACACAATACAATGATCTACAATCATTATTATGTGCTACTTTACAGTCCGTACTTAGAAAAGTTACAACAGAAGATGCTCCTCAAATTTCAGATGCGATAATGACAGCATTATTATCAATGTTTAATTCCAATTCCTGCAAATCTGGTGGTGTACAAGAAGATGCCTTAATGGCAGTATCAACACTCGTTGAAGTTCTTGGTGAAGGTTTTCTAAAATATATGGAAACGTTTAAGCCATTTCTTTGTCTTGGATTAAAAAATCATGTCGAGTATCAAGTTTGTGGCGCAGCTGTTGGACTTACGGGTGATATATTCCGGGCATTAAAAAATAAAATGCTTCCTTATTGTGATGAAATAATGACCCTTTTATTGGAAAATCTAACTGATAGCACAGTTCATCGTTCTGTTAAGCCACAGATTCTTTCTGTTTTTGGAGACATAGCTCTTAGTATTGGTCTAGAATTTAAAAAATATTTAGATGTAGTATTTCAAACACTTGCACAAGCTTCGCAAGTTTATGTTGATAGATCTGAGTATGATATGATTGAATATCTAAATAGTCTTAGGGATGGTGTACTTGAAGCTTATGCCGGAATTATTCAAGGACTTCGTGGTGATGGTACCAACATAAGTTCTGATGTGTCTTTATTAGAACCCAGTGTCCCATTTATAATACAATTTATAACTACCATAGCCCAAGATCGTGAACATTCTGATGGCAATATTGCAGCCTCATCTGGACTCTTGGGCGATTTAGTGACTGTATTTGGAAGTAAATTGATGCCCCTATTAGAAACAGAAGTATTAACTGATCTATTAAGTAAAGGCAGAAAATCTCGTTGTAATAGAACAAAAAGCTTAGCAACATGGGCTACAAAGGAAATTAGAAAATTAAAAAACGCGAATAATACTGTATCGAGTTGGTAAGTAATAATAAACAATAGAGAATAGTTTTTTATTTAACGTTATTCAAATTAGTTATTTTTTTAATTTAAATAATATTGCAATCATAAATTATGAAAATATTTTATTCATAGTGTATGATTTAAATTTTATTATGATTGAATAATTTTCTTTATTTCGTTTAGCATATTTTATAATTATTTATTTTAGGTAATATATCTCTATAATTTTAGTCATTCTCAATTTTTGATATTTACATAGTAAATATTTTATATGCAAATAATATTTACTGTATTGGAAATACAATTTTGTGTACAATATATATATCTATTTTGCTGATAATTATTCATTATTACTGAAAAATACTGAGAAACATTTAACGGCCAAGATTTATTACAAAATACATAATTTATATTCTTTAATTATTTTATTAAACTGAAAAAATATGTTTTAAATAAATTTAAAAGTATCGTAAATCAAGATTTTTTTAATTAGTTGGATTAATTATTTATTTTACTTACGGTTTTCAAATAATTATTCTTCAAATATATTTCATAATTAAATATGTATATTTAAAATATCTGTAATATATCATAATTGAAAATAATTATAAAATTTTATATCATTTTTTGTGTATTTTTCTATTGTTTATGTTGAAAAGTATTCTCAGTTTATAAACTATTCAAAATAACTATATAATCATTTTAATATATTTGTATATAATCGTAAATTTCGAAAATACAAAGTTTTATAAAAAATCGATAAGTGTTCAATTCGATCAATTCAAAATCTTTATTTTTACTATTAAATTATGAAAATGTATATTATTATATATGTATAGAAATAAAAAAAAGTTGAATAACAATATTCAAGGGAAATTGCTAAAGCTGTTAGAAATTTAAATTAGAAGTTCAAATACTAGAAAAATTATTTTTTATAATGTGCATTTACTTGTAAGCATTTTCTTTATCCTGATTATAAAAGTTATCTGTATTAAACAATTATGAACCGATGAGTATTCGTCTAAAAAACATAAGTCATAATTTAATCGAATTCTGATATGTAAACACATAATAATTATGATAAAGATATATCACGTTCAATAGTATTATTTTCCCAATTTTGTTATTTTTAGGGTATGATTATTTAAATCAATTGGTGGATTTTTCAGAATTATTTTTTTTTATTGTATAGATATCTACGAAAACGATATCAAGACTCGCAAAAATATTATACTTATCTCGCAATTTGAAAATTTGTCATAGGGACTTTTTGCTGAAGTTAATAATAATATTTGGTATTTCTAATAAAAATTTCTATGAAAATTGTTTTAATGTTTCTAGGGAGTCAATGATAGAACTGTTTAAATATATATTTACAAATTTCTATGAATTTTTTAAAAAATTCTTATAACGTTATTAATTAATATTATTGTAAGATAGACAAACGATTATAAATCAAACTTGTAAATAGTTTTTTCAAGGAAAGTAGTTCTCGATTTATTTACTAGATTAGTCTCAGTCCCATTATTGTGTTATGAATTTATTCTGATTTAAAATTTTTAAATTTCAATAACAATTTTAGAATCAACGTTTTCATCTCCATCCGATTCCTTGTTTTAGTCTTTATTTACTTTATTTAAATTTTATAAGATATGTTTTTATAAGGAAAGTACATAATTTTCTTTATTTTAACATGATCCGATTTTCAAAAAAATTCGAAGATCATATTTCATTATATAATCAAATATATCTACGTGAGAGAATTTAACATATATATATTAATTATATAGTATGAAACATATATAAAGTTTTTTATATTGTATTATTTTTCAAAATAGAAAATCATATTTATTTTGGTTGAATTATGCGTGTACGATAATGAAAGAATTAATTATCTATCAATTATAAAGATAGCCTTAGGCCTTTATCTTGGGATGTTATTCTCTCAGTATCCTCGAGTTATATACGGCATCAATTGATTCTCAATTCACTGAATACATCAGCATTTGAAGTAATGGGATATGTAAAACAAAGCAACAGGTAATGAATAAATATTTGAATAAGTAGCGTATATTTAGATCATTATATATTTATGTGTTATTAACTCAATTATTTATTAACAAGATAACTAATGTGTAATAATGATATAAAAATAATGTATAGATATGTCATCCTAAGTTTTATGTTTCAATGAGAAACTAAGTTATTATTAAAAGAACTAGGTAAAAAACAAAGATCGTTTCTTTATCAGATGGTTTCGCTACTTTTAACTTTTTAATTTTCATTTTAATTCATTGCAGGTTTAAGAATATTGTAAAGTGGTCATTATTAAATAAATAAATTTATTGTTAGATACAAATAATAATGAACTATTAATTTTTTTAATTGTATACGTAGCCTATAATGTATTCATGCAAGTAGAAAAAACAATCGTTTATGTTATGCAAAATAAAATGTTTTTCTCATACATACATCTCTACTTGAGGAGGACTTAAAGAATGCTTCATTGTTCACCACTATATATTTTAATTTTTTAACGTAAATTGTTTAGAATTTTATTTTAATATAATTATAATTACTTTTATATTAAAGGTTTTTCAACATACTTTTAATATACGTAGAAGTTTTAATATTTTAATCATTCACATACAAAAGATATCTTAATTTAATCATTAACATACAAGAAGTTCTTGATAAAATCTAAATGTGCATGATCATAACTTATCGGATTTATATGGGATTCAGCATATATAGGCTGTGTAATAAATTAATAATAAACTTTCAGGTAGATACTATTTTTATTTGGAGAATACTTTTAATTTCTTGTATTTCACCAATAAATAAAAAATAATTTAGTTGCAAATTAAACCATATCAACAGTACTTGTCAAATAAATAGTAAATAAATTAGATAATAAATACGGGCTTAGTTTTATTATATACAATGAACAATTATTAGAACAATGAAATTTAAAAACTTGTATTTAACATATTCTGAAATGAATATACAAATTATATTTATTAATAAGAACGATACACAGAGGAAACCTAAAGAAGTTTGGTAAAATATATATCAACTTGCGATGAGTAGACCTATTACAAAGTTATAGCAGCAAAAATGATTGAGAGTTTCAATATTTATTTATAAATTGAGAAAATTCAACATAATTATAAAATGTAGAATAAAAACAACATTCGTCTAATTAATTTGTAATATAAGTCTTTAAAAATGTTTCAAAGTACATCAGAAGGTAGATACAGCATGATTGATTGTTAAATACAAAATAAAATTTATAAAGATGTATATAGTAAGTATTTATTTCATTAATTTGAATAAAATCGTTATTTTTTATTTAAAAGTGACTATTTCAAAAATATTATATAATAGATAAACATATTGCACAAGTTAATAATAAAATGAAATATATTAGAACTAACAAGAATTTTCATATGAAAAGTCACCTTAGAAACTATCTGAAGGTATGGAAATGACGTACTGGGCTCATTGTGTATGTTAAAAATTTGAATGTGGTAATACAACATTACATTACACAAAAGAAAATATGAATATTATAATTTTGTATCGCTGCGCTTAATTTCATAGTTGCTATGTTTGTATTGCCCACAAACTCATTTTTTAAATCTAATTAGTGCTAACAATTTTATGTTAGGTTTATAAAATTATTTAAAACTAAATTTTAGTATTCTTTTAAATTAAAAATGTTCGAAATTCAATTATTTTTATCTATATATAAATCATTCAAAATAGACAAAATTTTTATATCACTAATTAATTACAATTAATTATATATTACCAACGTACGGAGCCTTTAATGTTTTTCAAAAGTACATATATATAATCATTACTTTATTATTTATTATATAAATATTTGTTAAAATTTGAATTTATACATCAATTTTTACTACTTTGATTCCAGATCACATTGTAATAATGTCGCTTTTCAAATTGATCTAACTAAAAAGATTTCAAGTCAACAAGATTGGATGATACGGAGTGAGTGATAGATGTGCGTGAGTTCCAATTCATTGACGATGCAATGATAAATCTGCACGTAATAGTAGTGATATAAAATTTTCGGTTATGTTGATGCAGGTAATATATGTTCCTGTATAGGTTATCACTCAATGCACCGTTTCTGCCTTTTAAACTTGGAAATGAAAAAAAAATGGATGTTAATATTGTATGAAGATATGAACTCTTATTGTATGTGAAATCAGATGTATTCATACAAATGATTTTGCTATATCGGGTGTTGAGGATATCTGTATTTCACTATAGTTAATGATACTTTTATATAGAATTGATATGTGAATGCATTTTAATTTGTAAGAGTTTTATGAATAGAAACATTGGAGCTGTACGAATGAAAATAAAAGTGTGAAACATTTTAGATTAAAACTAAATAACGAATGTCGTTTAATTAAAGAATTTCTATAAGTAATTAATTTTTTATATTTGTTTTACTGTAATCCTATACAGTTAAAAAAGTGTTTTATAACTAACATTAAATTAGTAAAAAATATTGGATTTAATTGTAAAAATAAATTTAATTATACTCTAAAACTATTATAATAATTGTAAAATATAGGTAATTTAATAATTTAAAGCAAAAATTTAACGTTTTATTCACAATTTTAATTATAATTAGTTTATTTGTATAATTATTAATTATTATTTAACATATTTAATTTTTAAGATATTTAAATTAGTGAGCAGCTTGCTTGTGGGAAAACTTATTAATACTAAAAATAAATCTGTATAAATTGATTTTTTAAATATATTTACTTTTTGAAATATTAAAAATGAGTTAGTTAATCATACTTTACAAATTTTATTTATTAAATTCAATTTTATAGTGCTTTCTGGTTTGAAAATTGCAACTGTAATTCTTCATTTTGTTAATTTTAATTTATAAAAATACGTATGTTAAATGTTTAGAAAATTCATGGTTTTAAAGTTATTTTTTAAATAAAAAAAAAAACTGATAAAGATATTACATTTAAAAATATTTTGTAATTTTTTCATATTTAAAAAGTCAACACATCAATTGAAAGCTGTTGAATCAATATTTGAAATTAATATATCTTAAGTAGAAAGTTCAATTGACAATCATATTTTTTAGAATATTTTAATTTTTCATTGAATAAGTTTTAATTATACTTAGAAATATATTTATATTAAATACAGTACGATTTTATTAGTACTATGCAAATCTTAAATTTACTAAATAAAATAATTAATATTTTAACTAATATATTTTTACTTTTATAAAAATATTTGCATTTTAATAATTTATCTATACGATCGTACGTGAAACTACTACACATCTATACTAACTATATTTTCTATACTATTATACTACTATATTCTATACTATTATACTATATTTTCTATACTAACTATATTTTCTGCATCATTGTAATATATATGGGTATGAGACAGGTATATTAAAAACCATTTTACCTTATAACACTATATGATGCAATTAAGAGAGGGGCAAACTTTCCTTGTCATGTTTAGAATGATAATATCAATTTTAAATCTTTATTTGAAGTTTAACCTATTGCTTTAACAAAAAAAATATAATTTTATGCATTAAAATTTTCTCTGTATTTAGCAATGCTAGTTATAAAGTTACGGTCACAGATAAAAATAATAATTTCAAATATGTAACGTCATTTTATGAAGTAATGAATATATCACAAAATACCAATTTTCATGCGTGATCTGTTGCCGTTATAATTAAAAATTAAATGCTGTAATATCATGAAATAAGTTAATTACCTATTTTATATATATGTCAAGTTTGTTAATAGGATCGTTTAACGGCTAATTAAAATAATTAATTTGTTGACTTCCTAAATCTTTAGAGGTCTAAATCCTAAATTTTCAATCCATCAAATCATTAATATATTATCTTGTAAGCTATTAGTTTAAAATTTTTTGGAACATTGTAAATAATAATAAAAAAACAAGATTTTAAATAATATAAAGTATAAATTTAATGGTTATTGTTCATTATTAAATTTTTTCATGTAATCTATCTATGTAAATTTTTGTTTTTTGACTTAAACTAATATTTTAGATAGAAATAATGAATGGTTTGTGGCTAATTTCAAATTTAATTGAATTAAATTTTATTTTTGGTTGTTACCGACTTGATGTTTTTTCCAAATATACTAAAAAAAAACAGGTATTTAAAACAAGTGCTCCATTAAAAAATTTTGTAGTATCGATACAAATATTTACTAATTTTAAAAGATGTTATAATAGTCTCAATATTAGCAAAAACTATCTACACATGTAAAAATTTTCTTATTGATCCTACTGAAAATATGAATGCATAATATTAAATATTAGAACTAAATTTTTATTAGATTGTTTAAATTAATTTATAAATATATATTTATATTTTTCAGAATTTTAATGTCAAAGTTATAGGGTAATTTCTAGTAACAAATATGAAAAATTATTAGATCTATCTAACAAATAAAAAAATGAATGTATTAGTAATGACTATAATAAAGATTCTGAATATGATAATTTTTTAGCAATAACAAATATATGCTTATCCATTTTAATATATATATATAACAAATTGATCACCTTTTCCCAATGTATTTTTATTTTTCAATAATTCATTGATCTTATAAATAAAAAACTCATATGTACAAAATTAAGCCCTAAGACATTTTTCGCTAAATCAGTTTAGTAATTCAAAATAAGTCATGGTGTATTGACCGAAAATGACAGCGTAAAATGGATTTATTATATAAATAAATCATATTTTGAAAAAGTATGTAAACAATATAAATTTTATACTAAATGCAAAGACGTTCAGTAATAGTTACTATTGAAATTTTTTTATTTCTTTATTCAAGAGTAATATCGTTCCTAAAGATCCTAAAATATTTTTTATATATATTTTTCAATTATGATTTCTTAAATTCATTTTCATTAGTTCCATATTTGATAATTATTTAATGTAAATACTTTCTCATAAATTCACTTTGAAAATAAATAGGATGAATTAGAAACAATACCTATGCGTACAATTTTATTTCTTGATTGTTCTATTCAAAAGGATTATAATTTTACTGTATATCATCTAATATTTATCAACATATAAGATTATTAATTAAACAGGTGTATCGTGACAAACTTATTAATGACATATATTATTGTGAAAATAACATCATAGGTTAAAGGAGATAAACTTATTAAAAAAATGTTTATAATTTTTGTTGAGCAGAAGTTTTATAAACCGAATAACTGAATAATATAAAATTAATGTATTAAAATGCACATAAATTCTGTCTAATTTTATATACGGTATACATTTATAATATTGCATTATATACGTTATTAGGTAATTTTAATTATCATGAAGTCCTACATAAAGAAGAAAAAACAAATAGAGCAGCTAGTATTTATACGTACACAAAGTGTTTAAATATATATTCTCTATTATATGAGTTTATGTAAGTAGATTTTCTAAAAAACAATAACATATTTGAGGATTTGATATAATATATTGATGTAGACAATTAAAACATTTAGAAAATTTATAATTAAAAAAATTTAGGAATCAAATAGAAATAAATTTGAACTATATTTCGTTTCGAATTAATTCGAGCGAAACTCTGTTTCAATTTTTGTTTATTTTACATTATCAACTATATTATTTAATTATATATATATATATAATTTTTATGATTTATTTTTACTTAAAGTGATGATTAATGAGTTAATTACTGAATATGAATGTCTTAAACTACTATCATCACTTTAAGTAAAAATAAATCATAAAAATATATTACAAAATTATTTCATCCAAATATACAAAAAAAATTACCTATAATTCCAAACAATTTATATTATATAAAATATATGAATTATATTAAATTGTTTTAATATGTTTACTTTATTTTATTTTGTTTTTAAATTCAAATTGAAATTTTTTTAAGTGGTACAATTTAGCAATTAAATAAGTATTAAAACGGATTACAATTTTTAATAATTAAATAATAAATTAATACCTTTTTTTTTTAATTCACATCCAGTAAATTATTTACGGTATATAAAGAAATTTCTTGATTACAGAAAATATAACGAAATGCATTCGATTTTATTTAAAACCACTAATTTATATACTAAAAATTTATATAAAATTCGGTTTCGTTCTCAAATTTCCACACAATTGTTTACATTTATAATAGAAACAATTTTGTAATACATATTTTTTCAAATTTCTTATAAATAAATTGTAAATTATAAAAGTTCATTATAATTAAATTATTGTTTAGAGTATTTTCATGGTTTAGAAAAATATATTTTACCATAAAAATCAATATTAATATAATTTTTTTTCCAATAAAATAAAAAATTGATTCTATTATAGTAGTTGGTAACAAATTTACTATTGAGCGATAGTTAAATGAAAGCACGCATGCGTACATTTGTCCCTTCTCTAGTTTTATGAAAAGAGCTATTTATTAAACTAAATTACATATTTAAAGGAAGGCAGCAGATGTCAAAAGTAAAAAAAAGTACTCTGTAAAGCAATATTTTAATGAAGAAAAAAGAGAAAAATAGTGTAAAATAGTAACAGCAGTGAGCATCCATAAAAAGTGTATATTGTGCGCGAAATGGGAAGTGAAGCAATATAGAGGTTCGAGTAAGAAATTGAAATTTAAGAGAATGAATAGTTATTAGTGAAAGTGCACGGGAATTTATTAACTAAAAAAATAGGAACATTCAGAACATTTATTTTTAATTATATTGAATAATAATTTATAAATACAGTACCACAATCGATTGATTTTCATTATATAATATGAGATTAATATTTAGATGGGGTATATTAAAATAAAAATTAAATTCATTGACTGATAACTGATTATTTAAATAATTAAAAATTATCTTTATAATTTTGAAGCTCTTTTATATGATTCATATTTTTAAAAGATTAAAATTTTAAACATTGATGATATAAATAATAATACAAATTATAATCTATTAGCTGACAGCATTTGAAAAATCGGTATAAATTAAAATACTAATATGTATCACTGGTTAAATTTTAATATTTTTATAATATTTTGAATTACGGAAATTTAAAATAAATAAATTTCTTATAAAACTTGTGCTCAATTTACTCGTATTTATAAATCTAAATTCTAACTATGTGTGCTGACTATAAACAGAATAAGAAGTTATCCATGCTATTGACAATTTTAATTGTAATATTTATAACAAAATCATCGTTCATTATGGGACATAATCAAACATCCGCTCATTCTGCATTCTATCAATTTAATAATAATGAAAACGGCACCAAAAACAATTATTCTATTGTACATGAATCAAATATTATTACATTAATAGATACAATCAGAATATTAAATCAAAATTATTCTATACATTTAGATGGTTATAACGTAAGTTTACATCACCACCATCATAATAAAGTTGGACTTAGCGTTCTAGATGAAAAAACACCTTTATTTCCAATTGATTTGTTTAGCTTACAAGAACGACGCCATGGTGCTGTTATTTTACACATACTTGGCGTAATATATATGTTTGTTGCATTAGCGATTGTTTGCGATGAATTTTTTGTGCCATCTTTAGATGTAATCATAGAAAAGCTAGATATTGCGGATGACGTTGCTGGGGCTACATTTATGGCTGCTGGCGGTTCTGCTCCTGAACTTTTTACATCGATAATTGGTGTGTTTGTATCATTTGATGACGTAGGGATAGGTACTATTGTTGGTTCCGCAGTTTTCAATATCCTTTTTGTTATTGGAATGTGTGCCATTTGTTCAAAAACAGTATTAACCCTCACTTGGTGGCCACTTTTTCGTGATTGTGCTTTTTACAGTATAAGTTTACTTACTTTAATATATTTTTTTAGAGATAACTATATATATTGGTATGAAGCACTAGTACTTTTTGGATTTTATCTGGCATACGTTAGCTTTATGAAGTGGAATCGACCAATGGAAAAACTTGTTAAAAAAGCCCTTTATCCTGATAAGGTAACAAGAGTAAGATCTACTGATCAACTAATGCCGACGGTAAGAATTGTATTTTGACCGTTGATATATTAAAATATTAAATATATATATAAATATAAACATTTTCACTATTTTTATATCCATAGAAATAGTTAAATTTAAAATAACATTTAAGACATATATTTATTACTATCTAAAAATATATAGATATATTATATAGTTAAATATCAAATTGTGTATTTAAAAAATAATACTAATAGAGTAAGCTGTACGCTTTTCTCCTGAATTTTCTATCTCTTTAAGTAGTACAATATAAAAAACAATTCTTATTTTAATTTTTATAAGAAAGAATATAATTTAGACAATTTAAAATAAAGCTCATTTTTTAATTATGAGTTTCATTTCATATTTTTTATTTACGTATATAACAAAAGTTCCAACGAATATACAATTATATGAAATCTATACTAAATGTATGTTTCTAAAGTTACATTAAAATGACCGATTATTATAAAATTCTTATTTTTATTATATGATGCACGTGCTTATTCTATTGTATGTTTCACAATAGACTAATGTTTGCTTGATTTTTTTTCACTTACGTTATATGAATAGTTCCTTGAATTTATATAGATTTATAAAAAACATATGCAATAAATTTTATTGTAACATTATCATACTTTACTATAACGTACCAAGAAACTCGAAGCATTTATGCACAAATCTATATTTTTATTTAATAAACTTATTTACTAAATTATTTAAATAGTATGTTATTAGCATATTTATAATTTTTTAAATTTAATTAAATTCAATAAATTTTAATTGCTTTTGTTTAAAATAATAAATTTTTATACTAAATATATCAACGAAATATTGTTCAAACGTTAAAAATATAATTATATAAGTGTAATTTAATAAGTACAATTTAATCAGTAAAAATAAATTGACAAAATACATTAAGACAAGAATTAGACAAAGTAAATTAGGACAAGAACAATTATTATTTCTTTTACATTAAGATATAAACATTTCAATTGAACATTAACAACAAATGAAATATAATTAGTGAATTAATAATAAATTAATAATAGAATAATAATAATTGTTTGGAATTCCAGCCACCAGAACGGTCTGAAGACCAAGGTGGTTGGATTCGACCGTACCACTGGTTTAATGGTGGAGAAGGGGAGGACGACTGAGAGGCTAATGCATCAATTCAGTGTGAACACAATTGATTGTAGTGACTTTTATTTATGGTTATGTTTCATAGGTTGTTATTGTTACCGGTCGTTGTGTGAATTGTTGAGCTCATCGTGAATTTACCAGTTGGCAATAACTGTACAGCCTCGTTCGGGTGTGCAAGGCAAGACTGGTCTGTATGTACTATTAGCAGTATGGATTGTGGGGAACATCGAATAGATTCGGACCCTCTTCTGCCGTCTGAAAGATAAGAATCAAGCAATAGAAGGCTAACTGATAATGTTGGCGCAATGACGAAATGATAATAAAAGATGATGAATAGTTTGCTGGTGATGACAAACTATGTCGTCGCCCCCAATGCGGTCTGACTAGAATCAAGTTGCGGAGGGCGCACCGATAGCTAGCCAGCAATAGATAAATAATGTAAACAAATAAGTATACCTTGCACGGATTTCCGTAGACAGACGTGTATAACTTTTAATTGTTGTGATTTGCACTATTTCACTTTGACTTACTTAACAAGATTAATTTGTTTCGACGTAAGTTTCTCCTTATATATGGTTGCGTAGATTTCGTGTTTATAATTTTGGGAAAATCTGCCAAATTCTCGGAAAAAAAGCTTTACTCGACTCGAGAATCTTTTTTTGTTGCTATGCGGATAAGATATAAGGCTTTATTAGGCAAAGGCTTTAACGTTTACCGAGAATTTTCGTAGCGAATTCTTCTGATTTTGGGAATTATAATGATTTAAATAAATTATTGTTTTTGTTGGGTGTGGCAATCCTGAACAATAATACATACAAATATTTGAAAAAAATTATATAAGTTTTTCAGAAACATAATAAAAAATTATATATAATTAATTTTATGGATTATTTTCAATTTTAATTTCCATAAAATGATATATCCTTAAATATATTTAATTCATGTAAGTTATCAGTTTTTGAAATAAATCAAATAAATATTTAATATAAATTACAATAAATTATAATTAAATTGTAAATGCGTGTTTTTTAATAAAAAAATAATCTTTAGTACGATCATAAATTTTTTTAAATTTCAAGTATAATATACATATGGTATGGAACGTTAGGATTAGAATTTAATTAAAAAATTAATTACTAAATGTGGGAATAAAATTATTATATTCACAAAATCTGCAACATAAATTTAGTATATATTGCTGTAAGCAATCGTATCTGTGTAATTAAACGTAGGATACATCCAACACATAAATAATGTAATTGTAAATATAATAGAATAAACCATATTTATCGAAGAACACGCTGTATTTCTACAGCCCTTCCACGTAACTCCTTCCCAAGCATGTGCTAGTTTGGGCAGCAAATATAAGCTCTCGAAACATTGGCAGTTCGAGCCAGGAAAACAACAGTTTCGAACACTATGTGTTTTCATTTTCGTAGAAATTTTTTTTTTGATTTTTAAATATGTATGATAATTAGATTTCCATTATTTAATAATAATAATAGTTTTATTTTCAAATAAAATTATATGAGAATGTATGAAGATGTACAGTAAACATGAATATATCCCAAATATTACAGTTTAAGAAAAATGACAGTAATAGTTAAAATATTTCTTCCATCAATAATTATTAAAGTTTGAAGTAAATATATGAGTAATTAAGTTTATTTGCGAAATTTATAAAATAACACATAATATAAAAACTATTTAGAAAGTGCCTAAATTAATATAATTATTTTCTCAAAGAATATTATTTTAATTTTATTAAGACAAAATAATTAAACATACAATTCAATTTTAGATCTGTATTCTTTTTAGTTTCTTTATATACAGTTTTGAAATATTATAGAAAATTTTTTTAAAATGATTTAATATTAGAATTTTATTATCTAAATAAAAACAATTAACTTAACAATAATAAAGTTTCAGTGTGTAATGAAGTTAATACCAATTTTATTTCAATTTTAATGTTAAATTATTCAATATATTTTATTTTGAAAATGTACAAGTTGTCATGCAATATTTGGTATATCATTGATAAATTTTCATTGCATTCCACATGACCAAGTGTCTAATAAACGAAAGAATAGTACTTCGTTACTCTCATACACAATGATGGTAATAGCGTTTAGAGTACTTTGTAAACGGACAGAAATATCATATATTCAAGATCTTATAATAATCAAATTTAATAATATATATAATTTTTTGATAGACAGAGCCATTGGTCTCAGGCACGATAGCAGATGAATAGTTATGTAATAATCAAAGCAAACTTATCCTTATTTTGAGCTATAATGAAAAGAATAATTCTGGAAAAGATTTGGCATAATATCATACACTATTAACGAATTATATGAAGAAAGTGATGTCTCTAAAAATTTAGTATATAATAATTTAATTAAAAATCGATCATTTTGAACATAGAAAAAAAACCACCATTCTGGTGGCTGGAATTCCAAACAATTATTATTATTCTATTATTAATTTATTAACATTTATAACATCATTTTGATCATTTTTAACATTTGTTGCTTATACTTAACCGAAATGTACCTATATCATATAGATAGCTGACAAGTTTTTTTGCGAATTTTTACAATTTTACAGAGAAACATTATTTTCATTTACATTAAAATATTATTGGTCAGATATTCATAGAAATATCTCATTCAATAATTATCTTTAAAAATGTTGTTGGAGATTGCGAGACCTTTTTTCAATGCAATATAATATCTGGCAAAACAACATCATAAAATTTGTGTTCAGATTTCAAAAACTTTCTTGTTCACAACTACCTAGCAATAGTGTCTTAAACATCTGGAAAAACAATACAATAAACACGGAAAAACCCACTCAGTTAGGCATATGTACGAATTCGCTCCGCTCGGTAATTCTTCAAGGATTATGTGCGAGCGGACCTACACCCCCCCCCTTTCTACTGACTACAAGTTGTCATGCTGTCGCCAGATGTGTCAGCAACAACGAGAGCTCTTCTTGCCATGAAGACCAAGAGACGACTAGGCCCTTAATTAACTATCAAGCCACAAGAGGCGCTGCCAGCGCTCTGCAAGGGAGAAGTCTCTGATTGGACGAAAAATAAGGGAAGGGGTTCAAGTGATGTTCATGGTCAGCAAATGTATTTAAGGGGCGTATTTTTCAATATTCATCACTCTCGATATAGTTCTTATTCAAATAAGTGTCAAGTGGAAGTCCATTAACGCTGTCAAGGAAACAGTGCTTACACGTCCTAGAGGAACGACGACAATCCGCATATCAGAGTCCGGAGACGAGTCAACGATTAGTCTTCGTAAGTAGTAATATTACTACAATAATTACATACTCTGAGAGTCAGAAATTATGTCATCGACAAGCAACTAAGGACGAAGAAGCTCTCCCCAGAGCAACAGTGCGGAATAGATTCCAGTACGCGTCGCCAAGTTCGCGCCTGCTAAAGGGCGTCTTGTCGGCAAACCCTCACCTTAGTTCAAGTTCGGACGCTTATGAACTTACGCAACAAACAGCGCAAGTGTCGACGAATTAAACTTTGCGCCATTCTGCGATTAAATTCAACCCTCACGCTTCATAGATGAGAGTACATTAATGCACCACAAGAATTATTTTCATAATTAATAATAGTAAGACTAGTTAACCTTGTCATCAATAAATAACAGAATAAACAGCATATACATCAGCCATATTTATATTGTATTATTATAATATCCCTTCCATTTCTGATCTTTCATCGCTACCACACAACACCCGTGGTCTCTGAGTTGTCAACGGCATCAATTTGTATCCTTCGAACCGGCCTTGGTAAAACAAGCCGGAACGGCGAATACATTTTGTACAAATGTCAATATCAATAATAAGAAAATCCTTTTCAATATCTTATTACAGAATATATTATGGACGTTTTAATATAATAAATGGCATCGTTATATAAGAATAAGATATATAAGAATATAGAATTCTATTGAATTGTTCTAACATTTCAATATTTAATTGGCTAATGAATTAAGAAAGAAATATATACGGATAACATTATCTATACAACAGATTACTTATTATTAATGGTTATTATATATTTACGTTTTTGCTTCCTTTTTTATCTTGTCAAAGACTATCTCTAAAATCGTTGAAAGAAACGAATAAAAGTTTCAAATATGTAGAATGAAATAAGTATAACAAAATAAATCTTGAATTCAATTCATTAGTGTTTTATTATTTCTCTCACATATTTAAAATTCTTTATTTTTTTTAACCATGATAAGAATTGTAAAATATATATGTTCAAAGTCCATGGCAATACATACGTTACTAATTTTATATGTAATACATTATTGAAATTCAATCTGTACTGTTTAGTTTTTGTTCTTTAGTGTTGTTCGGCATTGGAGGATTCACCAAGATTTTGAAAATCGGAAAAGTATAAGCCTTGTAACTCTCGTGTTTGTAAACATTGATCCCGCGAATTCTCGAATATTCTAAGCCTTATTTTCGAGAGTCCTACAATACTTTTTGCATAGCAACGTCAGTTTTAATACTCCAACCTTCTAAAGCTGTGCTTTCCTGGAGTTGTCGAAAGTTCTAGAGTTTTAGTATCTGACGTCATGCAAGACTTTCGGCATAGCAACATCTATGCATTGTTGCCAGCTAAGTAAGCTGCCGCGCAGATATTTAAAGCACGCGATCTGCCTCGCTCTCTCAGTGAAGACGCCATGGCGCGAACAAGCCTTCAGTTTCTTGTGCGTATTCATCAGGTTTGTAGGAGCTCATTATACTTACATCGCTCAGTCAGACTTTACAGCTATAAGCTAGTTACTCAGTTACGTTAATACAGTGAAGCCATTATAATCAATGCACGTTCAATTTACAAGTACGCAGTAATTGAAAGCAGATAAGAATGCTGACTGCATTACACGAACGTACGCGACTACAAGAAGCGCAATTTCTAAACACTCATCACAAGATTAGTCAAGGCAACTGCATCTCTGTGAGTACTAACAAAAGGCCAACAAGGCCCTTCTAATACGGAAATAAGATACCATGTGCAGCCAACCAAACTCTCCAGTAAGGAGACCTCAACATGTTCCTATCACGTGGCACTATATGAAGAATTGCCAGAGATTTACGACCTCTTACTTTCCAGTGCAATAATTTACCACCAAGCATACTACATCAAGAGGATCCGAAAATTTACGACCTCCTACCTCTGCATGTAGTGCACGCTAACGCCACGTGGCAGCTACCATCGAACTGCAAGATCTCACTGATTCTCAACACGAACTTAGAATCTTTATTATTGTGTATTTTCTAAAATATAAGATAATAAACAGCACGATAAACAAATATATGTAATTATTGAATAAATGCACTATCCCTTCCACTTACCCGCATTTCTTCATCCCACCAGGCAACTAATGGTCATAGACTAATCCAACCAACCTGGTTCTTCGATCACTGGTTGACTGGAATTCAAAACAAGTGTAGTAAATGAAATTAAAATTTAAAAACAATTTATTTTCTTTGAATTTCCATTTTTTTAGTATAATTTTCTATTTTTTTATAATATAATTTTCAATATAAATTATTACTTTTACATGGCATAGACATACAAATAATAAAAATTAAATCAATTCGATATTCGCACAATAATCGTTTTTAAAATGAAATCATTATTTTAATGTACTTAAAATATATTAAACTGGATTTTTTAAATAAGTAACGTATCTGTGCATTAAACAGTTTTTGATAAAGTTAACATGAAATATAATTATTTAAATTTTATAAGAACAAAGTTGTTGCATTATAATTTCTCTATATTTATTTATAAAAAAAATTAATAATTTTGTATGTTACAATTTTTATAATTTTTTTTCAAAAGCAAAAACTTTTAAAATATTGTAATAATTAATTTTTTATTCTTAACTTTGTGTTGAAATACTTTCACATAAAATAATTTTTAATAACAAAAACAGATTTTTATTTTTATAATCTTACAAATGTATTTAATCTTTTCGCATCATATTAAAAAATATATAATACTCATTCAGGAGATTTGCATAAATTGATATAAATATCGGTAATATAAATAATCATACTTTTTATACCTAAGGTTTATATCCTAATCGGAATATAAAATCTTATCAATTTCTTTATTTTTGGAACACTTTAATTAATTTTTATTAAAGTATGTTTTTCAATATTTTTAAGACATTATCAAATTTTTTTAATTTTAATTAGGCGAAAGATCAAGTATATTTTTTCAAAATTTGATAAGATATTTTAATGGTATAAATATTTCGATTAAAATTGTACAATGAACTATAGGAAATTAGTAAAAACTTGTATCTAGAATGCAGTTTTCATTTTATAAATTCAATAAAATCCAATACATTAGTGAACGAGGATTTTCAAAATACTTTTAGCTTTTCTATAGACTTTTTTTGTTGAAATTAATTTTCAAAACCTTTTCTGATTTCTAATATTAATAAGATTTACAGTGAAAATTTAGTAATTAAAATATTCACAACCTTGACAAAGTAAAATAAAAATAATTAGAAAATAAAATATTTTTTATATTAAAAATCTACATAAAATAAAAGTTTCGTTTTTTACTAAAATTTTTAGTATTCCTTTTATTTTAATATTTCTATTTTTTCATTAATCAATAAAAAATTTGGGTTTAATAATTATACATAATTTTTATTTAGAAAAAGTGATAAATTTATTGAAAATACCCCTTTAATAATTTAATAATAACCTTTTAATAATAACAAATATATAAAAAATATTAGGATCTTTCACTGATTTACATTTTCCAATGGTGATTATCTGCATTCGAATTTAATTATACAATAAGAGATAAATATTATTATCAACAAAGAAAAGAAAATAAAGCAAATTCAAATATGTATATTCTGAGCTTGTAATATTGACAATATCTTTTAAAAAATAATAGCAAAGACTTTGTAAAAAAGAAAATAACAATCTTTTATGCTATTTTTTATTATAAACGATACGCTGAGTCTGTTGTGGAAAACTATTCAATAAAAATGTACAACAGATCTCTGATGTACACAGAGTCCATATATCGGTAATCCGTTATCTTCGGTTGTAAAATAATGTAATAATGTAATAAACAAATAAATAAATTATTGGTAAAGAAACTAAGAAAATATACTTTATATTGTATTATATATCAAAATACCTCATCTGTAACTTAAAAATATAATCTAATATATTTTGTTTTATGTAATAATGCAAATGGTTTGTAAAAATGTGTATTAGTTCAAATTTTTATTCAGAAAATAACAAGGATAATTAAAAAACGTTTCATTTTCGTTATTTTAAAAATTCAACGTATTCTATAAAAAAATACTTTAGAGTCAAAAGTATTTTTTATTTCTCCATTCAAGTTGAATAATTTATCTTCTGTATTAAAAATTAACACTATTAAAATATTAAACATAATTTAGATAGTTTATCTACGAACCAATTCAGCTTCTATTTTAATCGTAAAATTTATAAACACAATTTAGAATTCAATTTAAATATAACGAAAATAATCTTGTCTTAATTAGTCATAATATAAATGTAATGAAAATTAAATGAAATTACAAAATTTTGTTTCATGTAGAATCTGCTGTGGCAATAAAAATGATGAAAATATCGTCAAAAGTAATTCACTGCAAAATAACCAAGAGTCATTAATAAAATGAGAGGTACTTATCTTCTATCCCTCTTAAATTGAAAATGATCGCAGTTGTTTTTAAATATGGTGATTGATATAAAGTACTTTCACTTGCACGATTTCCAATTAGTTTCTCGACATATAAGATAGGGCAGTTAATTATAATAAGATAATAACGTTTTGAAATTAATCTTAATGAAATTAAACTTTAAATATAAAATTTAAAACTCGTTACGTGGTGATGAATATCTATATTATTTAAATTAACAGCTATATGAAGTATGATTATAATAATATTTTTAATAATTATGGATTGAAAAAAATTTGATAATTCTACTTGTTTCAGCATCATCCATATATTACTAACAGTGAAAATGTTATTGGAAATATTGCCAATGAACCCCATAGTAATAGTGTTCCTATTCTTGAAGTATACGAGCATAGCGACAGAAGTAACAATAGTAGATGCAATAGTACTGTGGTCCGAGAAACGTCGCATACTATTGGCGTTATAGAGTTCAGAAAAAGTCAAGCTAAATTTAGACATGGTTTATTGCAACTAATGATTCATACTATCGATCCTCTTCACGACGGTCAGTCATGTAACGGTATATTTATATAAAAATGTATATTTACATATTATTTTATATATAATTTTATGTATTATATGGTCTAGTCGAATATTAAAAATTATTTATATGTTTTTCTAATGATAAAGAATTTAATATAAAAAGTATATAAGAAAAATTGTAATAAAATTTTAGTTAAATGAAGCATTTACTTATTTAAAAAATTATTTATAATTTTAAAATATATATTATTTTTCAATAATTTTGACTATACTTATGTAATGTAAAATACTCATACACTAATAATATATGTAAATATTTAATTTTGGCACTTTAAACATTTTTACAACAAATTATCCTTAATTTTATTATTTTTAAAATATTTGTTAATATAATATTAAAAATTCGAAGTTGTTTTAACTGACTGTTAAAAAATGTATTTTAAGAATATGCCTAAATTCAATTTATGCTGGTATGTTCAAAGATTTATTTGTTGTATTTGAATTAATACGCGAATTGTAGTTTATGAAAAAAATGAACTTTTTCAGTTTATAGATTAATATTAGCTATTTTCTAAAGTAAATCAAAAGTATTTTTGATATATTAATGAAAAAACTTATTATTCTAAAGTTTCTATATATTTATAACTTTTTAAAACAATGTATAAGACCTTCTAAGAAGTGATAAATATGTATGTGTTTAAAAATAGTGTACCGGGCGAGGAGGGCCAAGTAACTAAGATTAGATGTGAGCTCCCGATGTTGATAGGAGGATTGCAGGCTAGTGGACAAGATAGTACATGTATTCAATAAAGAGTAGTTTTGTTATTTAGTTGTTTTATTTATGATTGCACTAGTTGAATTATAATTAGTTTTATTTTTATAATTGATTTTTTTGGCTTTTCTTGATTTGTATATTTATTGCCACTCAGCTATCACGTACGTCGCATACACAGGAAGAAGTTGATGCCTTGCTGGTCCTCTATATGTAACACACGTGTAGATAGAATAATACACACAGAAGAGCGAGGTCGTAAACCCCCGCGCTTCCTTGTATATGAGCACGTGGCGTCGCTTGCATTGCTTGTATTATGTTTTGCAGATAGCTTTACATATCTGCAGATTGGCGTGTATAGCTTGATATAGTTAAGAATTAATTTGGAATGGAACGTTACCTCGTGAGTCTGCACGTTGTGTATAGCTATGTTTGTCTTATTCTTTGTGTTGCCTCGTAGGGCTCCTTGTAGTTTGATTGTGTATACTGTGCGGACTAATGTACGTAGTTCTCGATTCCCTTTTTTGTATTACACTGCTGCGAGTGTATGATTTGATTATCTAGTACTTGTGTTGAATAGATTAATCTTGGACCTTGCGTTTTATCGACTTGTTCTTTTTCTGTTAGATAAGATAAGATAAGTGATTGTGCCATGCCGACGTTGCCTTTTTTAAAGCCTTCTCTCGACCACGCGTTGGTCGGTGAGAATTCCCTCTCTTTTGGTGTCGCCAATCAAAACTGTCTTGTCGATCATGCCGTTACCAATGAGATTTAGTCTTATAAGTGTGCCCAATCAAAATTCTTCTTTAGTTTATGGTAATTCTAATCACGGCGCTTTTCGAGTGGTGGGGTCTCCCACCCGTGAGTCTTTCCAAGATGTAGGTTCCAATGAGAGCGGGTCTTGCTCAACTCCCTTCCATGATGGGGGGTCTTGATGCCGCGCTTTTCCCTCTCCATCCTAGTATTGTTGCATGCATTTCTTATAATCATCCGCGTTGCGATCGGTCAGTGTTGTGAAGGTTAGGTGTAGCATTGTTTTTGAATGTACCATCTGGCTTGTGTTTTTCAAGCTAATTTTATGATTTGTGTACGCCAGATGTTATATAATTTGTCGTCGATAGATGCTTTATGGCGAGGCCGTGTCAAATGTCTCGTAGCATTAGTTTTATGACTTGTTGTGCTGGACACTTGGAGCCTTGTTCTCGCCAGATGTGTTTATGAAGTTTATTTTCTTAAGATATTCGAAGTTGTGCTGAATTGTTTAGATTTAGTTAATCCGAGGTGCGTGTTTGAATGTTATAACTAGCGTAGCCGAGAGTTACCTTTTTCGGAACTCTTATCTCGATTTTTCCAGGTGTTTAATGAGCTGGGAGTTTTCTTACATTCTTGAACAGTATGCTTTGTTTGTTTCACACGATAAATAGAATTTTTACCCAAATCGTTCATATCATTTTGTTTATAGATTATATAATTATAGATTTTGTTTATATTGAAACTGTGAAAAAGAATGTTTAGATTTTGAAATATCTAAATTATTATTTGAAATAAGTTTTTTTTTATATATTTCATACAAAGTAAGTTTACAATGAATATCAAGTTAAACTTCAAAATATACTAATTGCGTCTCCTTATTTCATACACATATTAAAATAAGTTAGTTTGTATAACTGTGAAATTCAAGAATTGAACTCAAATATATATTAATTCATAGAGAACTTATTGATTTTAGCTTTGATTTGTAATATTTTATTTCCAACAACATGTTAACAGTAAATAAACTTAAGTTAAGCGGAATAATCAAAATATTACCAAGTTTTTCTTTTTATTGAACATTTATATTTATTTTTGATCTTCAAAAATACTAAATAAAATAGAATAACTTAACAAATACTTTAATAATAAAGGTAGTTTATTTGACGCGATTTTTACTATTGCTAATGCTAGATAAGGTTATTAGTTTTATTTATCAAAATTCAATGTTTTTAAAAGAAAAAGAATATGTGTAGTACAGTCAACTCGATGAAAGAAATATAAAGCATTTTATTTTATCGATTTTTCTATTCAATTATCAATTTTAATTGTCATTTTAATTAATTTGTTAAAATCATTTTCTAAATTTTAAATAACTTAATTATCCCCTAAAGATAACAATTTTTAATTTTATGTTAAAAACAATATGTGTTTTTGATTTCATTATTTAAATACTTTAATTATATCTTTTAAATATTTGGTAAAAGTAGTCAAAATCATTCAAATGCATCTCTTTATACAATGTTTTTATATTCTAATATTAGGTAAAATAGATGAAAAAGCAACTCAATTACACGCAATCGCATCTTTGAAAGTCCTATTGGATGCAACAAAATCACCTAATGGAGTATCGAATCGTATAGCAGCTAATAATTCTAATAATGATTCAAATGAACTTACTTTAGATGTACAAGAGCCTGCACAACGTGCAACATCTACATTTATTGAAACAAGCACTGGTATAGAGCAAATATTAAACGGAAGAATATCAATTGGACAAGATACAAGCACAGAACTGGTAAAGTATTTTATAAAGTTTATTATGATTATAATTAAAATTATAATATTTTTTACTTAATTGTTGTATATACTATTTTGAATGACTGTATTTTTCACCTCAGCCGAAAATTGATTTTCAATTTTATAGTCCCTGTAAGTATATTTTTGAGTTATCACATTATTATTAATTTTTAATATTTAATTCCGTTTCATATTTGTTTTATATCTTGTCTTTTTTCAGAACTTCGCATTAAAAGTTGAGTTCTTATATCATTAATCATCACTAACTAGTACTGATTAATTGCATTTATTTGTAGATAAGGTTTTCAAATTTAATTTTACTGCTTATTATATATCATATTTAGTCATAGTTTATTAACATAATGCCTATTATTCAACACTAATTATATGTGATTTACATATATTTAGATATAGAAGTGCTAATTATAAATTTATCGCTATTCAATATTAAAATAAATTATCTTTTAATTGAAAAAACTAAAAAAGTGACTTGAACTTCTTTTCATTATAATTCTACATATAACGATATGTAAGACATAGTGTATGACGGCTGATAAAATGCAATATATTGGTAATGTAATTTATTTAAAACTCCTTTAAAATCAAACATAATTATAATATATTATGAAACAGCAATTTCAAATTAATTTGAGTAAAAATTATTAAAAAAATTTTATAGTAATTTTAATATAACAATAACGTAAAAATTAATATAACGATTAAAATATTGAAATTGTAGATAAAATTTGTTTTATGTTTCAAAAATGATTTTAGATAAATTAAAAAAGATATTAAAATTTAAAACTATAAAATCTTAAAAATAATCTAAAAAAGATTAGATCTGGAAAAAGAATTTTATATTAATTTTCACTCGTATTTAATAATCAATATCGAACTAATTTTTGAAGTAAAAATTGGAAATAAAAATTTTTGTATTCAATTAAGTATATTAAAAAATATTAAAATTATTGACAATTAATTCTACATTTTTTAAAAAAATATTTTAGGTAATAAAATATTTTTTTATTTTATACACATTGTGTAGCTGAAAATAAAAAATTCGATCACTAATTACGTCTATAAATTCTATTTTTCGTTTAAAGGCTATGATCGTAAGTGTTTTTCTTGAAGCATTTTAGTATTATATTCTATAATTAGTGGTAAAAATAAATTTTTTTAAAGGATGAAACTTAAAATGATTTAAATAGCATCGAATACTTGTAAATAAATGTTGATTAGAAGACTTATAAATTCATATACAAAAAGATTAATAAAATGAATTAATAAAACTTAAAGAAAATTAATTATATGGAAATACCTTTTTCCATTTATCTAACTATATATTCATATTTACAATTTTTTAATTTAATACAATTGATTAATCTTCAATTCAGTTAAATGAAATAAGCTAATAACAATTAATAATAGATTAGAGTAATATAGTTTAATAATTTATGTATAATATAATAATTTATTGTAAACAATATATGTATAATGTATAATATACGCTCAATATTTTAATATTTCATAATTCATAGTTATACTACAAAGTTTTAATATGGATTTGCTATTAAAGATAAAGGATCTATTTTTAATTATCATTTTCAATTTGTTATTTATCGAAAACTTTATTATTATAATTGTGTATATTTAAATATACGGATATATTGAGAATATTCTATACCAGTTATAGTACTATATATTATATTATATTATTCGATAGTTCATTTTAATTTTCCACCCGCTTGGCGGATGGGTGAGGAAGGAGATAAGGGAAATAGTTGTACAGATATGCAGTGTCTTCATACTTCGTTTGAAATGTTTTTTTATGGTTTATTGACAATTACCCTATTGATGGGTTGAATTTACTCCTTATAGGAGAGTATGGGGAAAATATGTGTTTGCTCGCAACGATGCAGTTGCATTGACCTGACCTGTGAAGAACAGTCCACCATCACGACAATCTTCGTAATGATGTCAGGCAGACAGTTTTCTGATCTTACAAGGATTAGCTATGTATAATACACACTCTGTGGCAAGAAAATTATTGAAACTATATGTTCACTCACAGTGATGCAGTTGCATTTTGTTCGAGAATGCGAGACCTTTTACATTTTTTTGTCACTGCAATAAAACATCTAGCAAGTAACATCGTAAAATTTGTATTAAGATTTCAAAATTTCCTTGCTCGAAATTATCAAGCACTAGTGTCATAAAACATCTGGAAAAATAATACTATAAACACGGGGAAAACCCATAGTTAGACATCTGCATTTTCGTTTCGCTTGGTAACTAGTTCAAGCATTACTGTAAGCGGACCTTCCTTCCCCTTCCCGCTGTCAACAAGTTGTAATGCTGTCACCAGATGCGTCAGCGATGCCCCCCTTCCGCTGCCTACATACTGTTGCATGCGGCAGCAGCAATGAGAGGTCTGCATGTCATGAAGACCAAGAGACGACTAGGCCCTTAATTAACTCCGAAGCCACAACAGGCACTGCCCTCGAACTATAAGGGAGAAGTCTCTGATTGGACAGAAAATAAGGGAAGAGGTTTAAGTCAAATTCATAGTCAGAAAATGTATTTAAGTACTATTTTAAATACTCATCACTCTTCATACTTAACTCTCGTGATATTTAACTCTCTTGATATTTTACTCTTGATAGTTTTTCTCTTAGTAGTATTCTCGTGATTTACTCTCTTGAAGTGTCTCTCTTATGATATCTCTTACTTAGTAGTATACTCTTGATATTTCGCTCTTAGTATACTCTTGAAATCTCTCTTTTAGTAATACTCTCTCAATATAGTATACCCTTGAGACATTTCATACTCAGTTAAGTTTTAGTGAAAGTTCATTAAAACTGTTACGGGAACAGTAGTTACAAGCCCTGGAGGAACGACGACATACATCGTATGTCCATTAACGCAGTTCAAGAACCGTAGTTACATGTTCAAAAGGAGCGACGACAATCTGCATATCAGAGTCCAGAGACGAGTCAATGATTAGTCTTCGTAAGTAGTATTTACTACAATAATTACATATATATTAAGATTCAGAGTATTACATCGACAAGCACTAAGGACGAGGAAGCTCCTCTAAAAACGACAGTGCGGAATAAATTCCAGTACACGTCGTCAAGTTTCGCGCCCGGAAAAGGGGCGTCCCATTTTTAGCAACCCTCACCTTAGTTCAAGTTCGGCAGCTTATGAAATTAAGCAACACACAGCATTGCATTCATAACCTCAACCACACTCGTGCTTGTTCAAACAGCGCTAGTGTCGACGAACGAACCTTCGCGCCATTCGCCATTCGTATTCAATAATCATTGCATAGATTACTGTACAGTTGTCTCCGCAACACATTACTTCAATCCAAGAGTTAGTTCTACAAATAATAATAGTAATACTAGTCAACCTTGTCATTAATAAATAACAGAATAAATAGCATATACTTCAGCCATATTTATATTGTATTATTATAATATCCCTTCCACTTGTGACCTTTCATCGCTACCACACAACACCCGTGGTCTCTGAGTTGTCAACGGCATCAAATTGTATCCGTCGAACCGGCTTTGATAAAACAAGTGGGAACGACCAGTTGCAATTTGTGCACATTTCTTGTAGTCTAATACTTTCTTGAAAGGGAGTAGATGTTGTCACTAAGTTGTTGATTATTTCTTCCAACACTTTTCACTGTCGGTTGATGTTGTTAATACTCAACATAAGAATGAAAGCGTGTTCCTTCTATGGCGGCTCTATTAAGTGAGAGCTTTCTCGGAGCGTGCTTGCTTTAAATATCCACGCGACAGCCTAGATAGCGCTAACAACAATGAATGCGATTGGTGTTGCTAAATAGAGACTGGCTAAATATCGGGGAATTCCTGAAGACCAGAAACTTGTTATTTTCCAGAAAATTCTAAAGCTTGGGAAATTCCCAACGCTCAACACTTAAGAGATTCTCAGAATCCTGAACATATAGAAATGATAAAGTATACTATAGGTATACAACAATATGTTACAACACAATATATATATATATATATATATATATATATGATCCATCATTATAAATAAATCAAACATTTAACTAACAATATAATTCTATGTAACAATATAAAAGTGAAATAGTTTATATATTATTTATGGTAATGCATTTAATGTATTTAGAATTATTTTATGATCGCTTTCTCGACAGAAGTCAAGAATTTACCAAGAATTAAATTATATTTTAAATATTGGTGTACGATTCATGGAATACAATATAGAACAATACAAATATTTTACAAGAACTATGTAGTCTGATAAAAATGGTAACATTTCTAATGTAGAGAGTACATAAATAATATCAGGATTCGTCCAAATATTTTAGTATTAATATGTATTCTATTTAGGGAATATTTTAATATTCACATGGATTTACTTTTCGTGAATTTATTATAGTTTTCAATAATATTTTGTTAAAAACATTGAACGTCACGTTTATAATTAATTCGCAATATTGTATTTGTACTAACTATATTCAATGTAAATGGCTTAACTAGAATATACGCGAGTAACGCAACAACATGACTTAAAAAGATTAGATATAACTGAAAAACATATCGAGAAACTTCAAAATTCCAAGTAGAAATTTTGTGTGAATTGTGAGAAATACTTATGGCAAGTACATCTTGTTGTTTTCAAAGTAGATTCAACCCCAATATTAAAATTGTAAAAAATTAATTTATTATTTTGAGGGTGTATCTATAATCAGTTTAAAAGTAGCAGTATCATATAATACTATCATTATCATTAGTATCATAGTATCATTCATATAATACTACAAATTAATAACACACCAACAAATTAAATATTTATTTTTTCAATAAATCGTAATCAAATCAAATTTTAGTGCTCCAATTACGATATATCAAAATACCTCCTTATGATTAATAATGAAAAGTATTAAAAAATGATCTTGAATTCCTGACAAAGAAATATTGCACATTGTATAATATTGTAATCAATTTAAGTTCCATATAAAATTGACTTATTAATCAAAAATATTGTAATCAATATAAGTTGTATATAATTGACTTATGAATCAAAAAGGAAAAATATATTGCAATTTCAATGGAAAATGTTTTTACCTTTGTAAAGTACATTAGTCGTGATTTTCTTCGAGATTTCTAAAATCGCACAAGGATACATATTTTGGATTACAATAAATGAAAGAAAATTACACTATATAATACCGGAAACAGTAGAAACCATGAATCATTTATATATGATATTTATAATTATTAATAATACAATCATATAATAATAATTAGAATTATTCATAATATAGTCATATAATAATATTTATAATTATTAATAATATAATCATATAATATTATTTAGAATTATTAATAATATAAGAGGAAATTAAACTATCTATTTTAATGATATTTAAACATGTTACCATTTTAAATATTTTTAAATATGTAATATTTAATAAATAATTATAGGGAATTTATAATTTGCATTAAAGATTTGTTTTCATTTGATATTAAAGAAACGTAAGATCTTACAGACTTTCAGCACCATTTTAGAGTTATATTTGTGTGTGGTCTGCAAATAAATAAAAATAAAAAACGCCACGATACGCTGTGGGTTAATATTAAGTAAATCCGTCTTCCTCTTCCGGAGGTTTTAGTCTAAACCTAGACAATGTATTTTGTATTTATACTAAAAATATCTTTAAAATTATTGAAGAATAAAATTCAGAATTTCATTCATATGGCAAAATATTGTATTAAGGTATTCAATAAAAAAATTTTTTTTAATAAAAATATCAGTATAGAAATTAATTAATTAATTATTTTTAAAGATAGATAACAACATAATAAATAAAAATAAAATTTTGTAATGGTTATAACAAATATCATATTATAAAAATAATTTGACATGTTGACGTTAAAATTATTGTAAAGTAGAATTTGAAGACGATAGATGACTTGAAAATTTATGTGTTTCAATTAAGCGTTTTATAAATTTAAAAATTATAAATAACTTATTTCATGATATATCTATTTAAATGTTTTTAAAAATGTAATAAAGTATATTTAATTTAGGCAGAAGAAGAAAATGGACACGAAGCTTTAGATATGACATGGCCTAATACATCAAGTAAAAGAATTACATATGTGCTTGTAGCACCAATTTTATTTCCATTATGGTTGACGTTACCTGACACACGAACACCTAAAGGTTTCAAACATCTTTTTCAATAAAAAATGATTTTATAAATTGCATAATTTCATTTTAATTTTATTTAATTTGATATTTTGACAACTTAATATTTTATATTTAATAAAATCATATATATAACAAAAAATTGACTGAATAAATGCATACAAATATTATTATTATTATTAATTAAAGTATTAAAATAAGTATCAAATACACATCTTATATAAAGAATCATTGACTAATCATTCAATGAATTTCCAAATAATTTAGTAGTTTAGTTTTAGTAGTTTAGTTATATTTAATTATTTTTTCTTAGTCATCTACAAAATGAAAATTAATATAAATATGATATTTATATGGTCTATATAAGCTTGTACTGATTTATTTTATAGTATCAATTTTGCTTTTCAGTTATAAGGAAGCAATGTTGGGTGTAATAAAATTAAAAAATCGCAAACTCACTAAAGTCTAAGCTGATTGGCTCTTCCACATGTGTGCGATAGATTTATGGAGCAATAGTCATTTTCATGAAGTAGGAATAGCAGAACTATATTTAAAAATACAATTTACTTTTATCTTATTGTAATATATAATTTAAATTTATAAATATAATAAATTACATAATTGATGCAATACAGAAACTCAATATATTGTTAAATTTTTAAAGCTTTATTATTTTTATTATAAAATTATAGTAGTATGAAGAAATATTGATACACCAGTAAAAGAAATATATATATGAATAGGTAAATAGATAGATAGGGCGATAAAGGAAAGAGTTAGAGGAAGAGATATAAGGGCATTGTGACTTTTAAATTGATGATTATTGATTATAACAAATTGTTGTAATAAATTATATTCCGTCATAGAATTATATTTTAAAAACTGTATTATATCAATAAATATTTTTACTATGTATGCTTAAAAGGCTAATCATCTTAAAGTTTAGTGTGCATGCAATTATTGACGATTCATAATGACAAGATTGTTGGAAAATAGTTCGAAATTTTTTTTAATAATATTATTGCTTAATATAAATTATTAGAGTAATAGTAGTAGAAATTTATTTATGATTTTTTATACGAATGATCAATATTAAATTTGAGAAATTTAGTTTTTATAATATTATTTAACGTATATTATGACAATATTAATTACCTTAAATAAAAATTATCCGATTTATGCATTATTTTTACAAAAATATTCACGCCATAGTTAGAACATACGAAAAATAATAGTCATATTGTATGTCCAGTTTTTTATAGCTTGCAAGATAAAAGGAAGATATTAAAAAAGAGCATGAAAATCTAATAAAAAGAATATTTTATAATAATGTATCTTCGAAATTGCAAGAACCTTTCCCAAGTCGGTAAGCATCTGGCAAAAACAAGTCATTCACACTTCTGGAAAACAAGTCATTAAGACATTTAAAAAAAGCCGTTACATCCAAAAATTTAGAATGTAACGGTCCACAACGCCCACGTTGTTGTTAAGTTTGGCTACAAGATAGTTTGGATGCTAAAGCAAGGACGCTTCAACATGCCCTCCTCATAGTGGGGATGCAAGTAAGAAGCGCTCTGATTGGAACCTCCAAGAATGAAAGATGCGCTCTAATTGGAGCCACCAAGAATGAAAGGGGTGCTCTAGATTGGAGACGACAAGAAAGAAGTGCTCTAATTGGAGACGCTAAGCAAGAGGTAATTTATCAATGACCACGCGGCGGTCAAGAGAATGCTTTTAAGGAAGGTAACGTTAAGACACAGACGATACCTACAAAGAATGCTAAGGAACAAGGATGCAGACACAAATAGTAAAGGCCAAGGAAAACGGAGTCAAAGGTAAGTCGTGTCCTTAAGTCCTTAGTCGTGTGTAAGTGCCACGACGAGCACATGTTTGTAAAACCGACAAGCTAAACAATAAACTCAGAGTAGAGCAACACTCAAGTTACCACCACGTGCTACTACAGGAAGAAGTGCTGAGATTTACGACCTCACACTTCTACGTATACACTTACAAAACTAAGCGTACCACATAAAGAGGACCTGGAAATTTACGACTTCCTACCTATGCATGTAGTGCACGTTACTACTACGTGGCAGTCATAAGGGAATAGTAAGATATTTAAGATTCTCATCATCATTATAGTGTAGTTTAAAAAGATAACCGCAATAATTATTAAGTAAAGCAAATGTGTTAAATATTTAATTCATGCACTATCCCTTCCACTTTCCCGCAATCCTCCCACCAAACATCTGGGAGCTTAGTCTTATTCTAAACAATGTAACTATATTTTTGTTAGAATTTGGGGAAATATATATAGCTGGCATAAAGTTACAAAATTAATGCAAATTACGTGTATTGCTTAGGCTTTATATTAATTCTGAAGGGGAGTATGCTTAATTATTTATCATTTACTACATACGATTAAAGTTCTGAAATATACTTTCAATCAATAATTTATCTAAATTCAAAACGACGTGTCGCGATTGCTGATCAAGGACTGAAGTGAACTATTGAATTAAAATCATGCTAATAGTAGAAATTTTGAATATTAGTTGTAATGAACAGATGATAAGAAGGTACACATATTTAAGTTGAATAATTAATTAAACTATTATAAATTCTAAAGATGGGTATTAGATTATCAATTATACTAGTGTCAATATTTAACCTTCCCATATTGATTATTGTAGTCATGAGTAAATTCTTGATTATTACTTGTGTTAGATCTCTATTCAATATATTGAAAAATAATATAAAATAATTAAAATAATTAAAATATAATGTAAATTTTTCTTTTTAATTTTAAATGAAAGAATGAACACAGAAAGAACTTCATATATAAGATTAACCAGAATATATTAAATACAAATAATTTTCATAGAGTATTCATCAATTATAATTTAAGTACTAATATATTATTATAAAGATAAATTATTTTAATGATGAAATCGTCACGTTATTTATTTTTTATAATATAAGAAATTTCAATGTTTCAAATTTTAAAATAAAGTTTATATAAATTTAATGCAACAGTTTTTACAACATTTTCAAAATTATGTTCTGATTAAATAAAGCGATGCTTAATAAATACCATTCTAATGTTAATAATCGTTTTATCTAAATGGTAATTTAGTTATCATTACAGATGAAAAAATACAGCATATGAGTATGAATATATTAAATATTTTATAGAAAATTTATATAAAAAAAAGCCTTAACTTAATATAGAAATATTTACCCATTTAGATGTTTGTCAAATAATAAAACAAAAACAGAAGCTTCATTTGATCATCATGAATAATTTATCTTATTGTATATTAATATATATATATATATATATATATATATATATATATATATATATATATATAGTAATGTTTTCTTACTAGATGTAGTGATTTCACTGAACAATTTTTATTAATAATTGAAAACTTAGACTTACTAGTAATATTTATGAATAAAGAAAGTACCACGTTATTATTATTTCTTTTTAATTTTCATAGCGCAAATATTATAAGCACGAATACATAATCCAATTTAATCACTAATCGGTAAATTTGGGTTTAACGAATTGAAAATTGAACCGATATTAATATATCCATAAGCATGTACATTATCGGTACATATGTAATAGATATTAAAGAACTGTGTTCAGAAAATAATTCCACAATCTGACTCATCAGCCAAACATGTAAAAATCAACTTAGATAAAAAAACCCACTAGATGTTGTGTGGGGTTGCTGGGCAAGTAAAGGGCTAATGCACCGATTCAATAATTAACACATCTTTATTATTGCTGTTTATTTCATTTATTTTACTTTATTTCCAAATGGGAATCATTAACCATGGTGAAATTACAAATGACCTTTATATTTCTTAATAATCTTGTGGTGTTGATATATCTGTTTATTGGAGAACTAGAGGATAATCAATTTCTTATTCTCTGCATATCACTGGTGAGATTATGATTTACTGTAAAAAGAAGTAAGTTATAATCTATTGAATATTATCTCTTTGAGGTTATGGTTATTGTAGTGCTCTGATCGAACACTACAATATTATTGTGTTTCAACTCAACACGTGAGCAGTTGCCTCTAAATATGGGTCATATAAGAGCCTAAATAGAGGTTATGCGAAGCTGTGCGCCACCTGTGGCGGGAACAACTTATCGTTGGAGGGATTGAAAAGCCACTGTGGCGTCGGTAGCTGGTCTTGTCCTAGAGTATGTCTGAGAAGCTTCGGTAGTTGGACCTTAATCCGTCCGTTTTTACGTAAGCCGAGAAATTAAGAATCAGTACTAGCTGTAAGGACTTACTTGCAGTGTATCGTGATTTTTCCAGTCTCTCTTCGTTGGTTTGTTGTGAAGTTCCCTTGCAATAATTGCAACTCTTAAGTTCTTTCATTAGCTCCAAGTGAGATTACAAGTGGTCTAGTCCTATGCAATCTAGTCTTGATGAGATCAATTCAACTGTATACTAATTCACAATCGTAGAAAGAACTTTTATTAAAACTCAGCTAGACGACTTGTCCTCCGTGAGAGTAAGTCGTGACTTATCCTTCAATTATGTGAAGTGTTAGAAAAGAATAAGTGAAGGTAGATTACGTTGTCCCTTCTTAAATAGTTCACTGGTCCTGTTCCACTTGGGACCTCTTCTTCTTTTATTAATTAACCAATCAGAGGTTGATCTTAGGCCGCACAATAGATTATGCACGCCTTCATTTCCACTTCCTTCCGGGCTCAGTCCCGAATTTGCTAATCGGGAAAGTGTCGGAAGGTGGCGAGCCTTTTCCATTGGTCACCTCTCCTTGGTTGCCTCATCCTTCTCTGGAACTTGGCTAGACGGAGGGTCCGCTTGGGCATGGTCAATTTTCCAATGCGATCGACCAGATGTGGCATAGCCAAGAACAATGCAAGCATTGAGTGCGCACGTATGGTCATCGCAGGTTATGCACGTGCGGGTTTTTGGGTTGCAGTGAATTTAGAAAATGTTTTGTACTCGATGCTTTACGCATATCTGATATTCGTTTTGAATCTACTTTGGGGTTCTCCCGGCAATAAACCCATTAAGTTCTACTGCAGTGGGAGCATGGGCACGTTTCGCTAGAGTTTTCCAGATGTTTTATGACACTAGTGCAAAATAATTATGAGCAGGAAAGTTTTGAAGTCTTAAATACAATTTTCACAATATTACTTACCAGATGTTTTATTGCATTAAAAAGAGAGTCTCTCATTCTCAAACAAAGTGTTATTCGAATTTTGTATCTGAATTCTTAATCATGTAAACAATAATTGTAATAGGACAGATAGTAAATTTGATATTAATATTCAACCATTAGATAACTTAATTTAAATTAAGTAGTGCAATTTTTGGGTTGAAGAATATTTTATACAATTGATTGTAGTATTAATTTAATATAAAATCACAATGACTATGTATCATTCGATTAATTATCTAAAATTTACTACCTCTACGTGTAGCGCATGCCAACCACCAAGGAACTGCAAGATCTTAACGATTCTCATTATCAAAATCATCATTTTAGTGTAGTTCTTGTTAAACGTAATAAGCAGCACGAAAAGCGGATGTATTAAATATTAAATTGAAGCGTTCCGATTTATTCACATTTTCCTGCTACAAGAAACTGGTGGACGTAGTCTATATTCACATATATAACTATGATAACATTCAAATACAAGATGAGTTTAATAAATAATGATATTAAAAAAATAGAAATATCATATAAATATCTTAGTTTTTTTAGATGACAGTTAATATACATTTTTTTACCAATGATTAAAGAAAGAGTAATTGTTAAGCTTCTTATTCAATATGATTTATACAGCAAGTTTTAGCACTTATTTTTTTTAATGGCCACTTTGCAATACTGCAAAATATTGAATAGTGATAGCTGTATACATAAGCATAATTGTATATTCTATCATATTTCTTATACAATAAGAATGAATATAATAGCAGTAATCAACGATATGTTATAGGTTTATTAATTTGGTATAATAAAACAGTCAATGCAAATTTTTGAAATATTAGAAAATTTCATTCGGATTATACAAAATAAAAAATATTGATTAAAATATTATTAAATAGAAGCAATAGTATAAATAATAAAGTTATTGCAAATAATTACTAACAGAATATTATATTAAATAGATTATTATATTTTATTAATCTTAAAATAACTAAAAAAATATATTAAATTTTTTGTAAAATGAAAATTTCACACACTTTCACACACATACATACAGATACATTAGAGAATTTAAATAATATATTGGTATTTATGTTTTGGTATGAATGGAAATATAAGTGAATTTACTTATTTTAGGAAAAAAATTTTTTGCAATTACTTTTATTGGATCAATTTTTTGGATTGCTGGATATTCATATTTAATGGTTTGGTGGGCAAATATAGCTGGAGATACAGTACAAATTCCACCAGAAGTAATGGGGCTCACATTTCTTGCTGCTGGAACTAGTATACCAGATCTTATAACAAGTGTCATTGTAGCACGAAAAGGTTTTGGTGATATGGCTGTTTCAAGTTCCGTCGGTAGTAATATTTTTGATGTTACAGTAGGGTAAGTTATATTATACACTTAAATATTTTTAACATATAAATAATATCTTAATACTAATAAAGTATTTTTTAAATAACATAACTCAATTTAAAAAAGTGTTAGATTATAATCTTAAACAAATCATTCATTAACAAGATTGTAAATTATTTCTGGTTTGAAATTGTTAAAATAAACATTTTTTTGATACTTATAAAACTGTAAAAAATTCTTCAATCATTGTTATTTAAAGGTTAATTATAATAAGAAACAGATTATGATGTTAAACGAAGAGCTAAATTACAGATTTTCACTGTCAATATGAAATGCCAAAAAAATATTGTTCGGAAAATAATCCCACAATTTGACTAGTCACCCAAAACGTGCAATAATTAACGTAGAACAATAAAACCCACTAGATGTTATGTGGGGTTGCCGGGCAAGTAAAGGGTGAATGCACTGATTAATAATTAACACATGTCTTTATTATTTCTATTTATTTGAATTGATTTACAAAAGGGTGAATTACAGACGAACTTTATATTTCTTGATAATCTTGTGGTGTTGAAATATATTTACTATGAATGAAGCAGGTTATAATCTATTGAATATTATCGCTAAGAGGTTATCATGATTGTAGTGCTCTGATCGAACACTGGAATGCCATTGTGTTTATCTTAACACGTGTGTAGTTGCCTTTAAATATCGGTCGTGAGAGAGCTGAGATGGAGATTATGCGAAGCTGTGCGCCACCTGTGGCGGGAACAACTTATCGTTGGAGGGATTGAAAAGCCACTGTGGCGTCGGTAGCTGGTCTTGTCCTAGAGTATGTCCCGTAGTTGGACTTTATCCGTCCGTCTTCTACATAAGCCGAGAAATCAAGAATGAGTACTAGCTATGAGGACTTACTTGCAGTGTATCGTGATTTTCCAGTCTCTCTTCGATGGCTTGTTATTACGTTCCCTTGCAATGTTGCAACTCTTCAGTTCTTCCTTGTCTCCAAGTGAGACCACAAGTGGTCAGGTCCCACGCAATCCAGTCTTGATGAGATCAATTCAACTGTACACTAATTCACAATAGTGGAAAGAACTTATTATTAAAACTCAGCTAGTTAAACGGCTCATCTCTCCGGTCCTCCTCCGTGAGAGTAGGTCGTGACTTATCCTTCACTGTAAGAAGTATTTGGAAAGAGTAAGTGTTTTTCTCGGTGCGTTACCGTTTTCTATCTTCAGCGCTTCACTGGTCCCACCCCGCTAGGAACTCCTTTTTCTATTAATTAACCAATCAGATGTCGTTCTAAGGCAGCACAATGGATTATGCACGCCTTCATCTCCACTTCCTTCCGAGTTCACTTCCGAATATGCTAATCAGAAAAGTGTCGGAAGGGGGGAGTTTTTGCTATTGGTCATCTCTTCTTAATTGCTTCTCCCTTCTCTGGGACTTGGCTAGGTGAAGGGTCCTCTTGGGCGTGGTCAGTTTTGGAGGCGACCGACCAGATGTGACTGACACAGAAGGCAATGCATGTGTTGTCTTAATAAGTCTAAGCGGTTAATACAAGTTGTCGCACGTTTGGGACTTTTGGGTTGCAGTAAATATTTGTACTCAATGCTTCACGCCTATCTGATATTCGTTCTAAATCTACTTTGGGGTTCTCGCGGTAGTAAACCCATTAGGTTCTACTGCACTGGGAGTATGAGCACGTTCCGCTAGAGTTTTCCAGATGTTTTATGACACTAGTACAAATAATTATGAGCAGAAAAGTCTGAGTCCTGATGTGAATTTTACGATATCGCTTGCCAGATGTTTTATTGACACTAGTACAATAATTATAAGCAGAAAAGTTTGAATCCTAATGTGAATTGTTTTTTAATTAATAACGTAAAATTATTTTCGACTTTAAAGAGTATATGTCATCTTATACGAGCTAGTATAAAATATTTATTATCATCATATTTAATAAAAAAATAATCATTGATATAACTACAATGTGGATGAAAAAATCAACAAGTTTCCAATTGCGTTCTATAATATCTTACTTATTTTTTCCTTTATTATTCATATATAAAAGTGATCTCGATGCAAGTGTTTTAAATCTTTGTTTTATGTCAAAAAATCTCCAAGTATGTTATTAACGATAAATTACATGAGCGCACCGACGAATAATATAGAGAAGAGAGACACTGCCATTACATGACATGACCGTCGATGTTTTAGAAGTAGTTAACAACAGAATCATATCAATGTTAACAATTTTTTTTTACTATAATGACACTTTTATGAGAGTGACAATAATTAAAAATATAGATATTATTTTAAAATTGCAGTCAACATATCCATTTAAAATGTGTTACTACTATGTGTTTTTATTTCATCATTCGTATGTACTAAAAATGTCAATATTGAAATAGCAAGAGGCCAAAATTTAGTTTTTTTTACTTCAAATTTTTATAGAAATTTAAAAAATGTTAGTTTTTCAAATCAGACTGAAACTATCCTATTATTAAATTAATATGAATCGTTTAAAAACAAATTATGTATAATATAGAATTATTAAAATTAAAGATTAAATTAAAATTAAATTAAAATAAAAAAAATTATCAAAAAATTTAATTGTTAAATTTAATTAATGCTTAAAAAATTCATATATACGTTAAATAAGTAGAGCATGCATAATATATGTTATACAAAATTCAAATGTTAGCAATTGTTCGGGTTTGAAGCAATTTCTAAGACCGTCGACTCTCGGCATCACCAGTCTCTCAAGCTCTCAGGTTTCTGTAAACACTTGAGACAAGAATTTTCGTGGACTTATTATGTTTTTGTTTCAAATGGCCTACAATGTTTATGGTCTTCAAGCAGTAACGACGCTTGGAATTCTCCAAACTTCTTACACCTTATTTTTTCTTAGAATTCTCGAAACTTCTAGAGTTGTCTTTCTGCGCTTCATGTAAGATTCCAGTGCAGCAACAACGATGCTTTGTTGCCAGATAAGTAAGCTGCCACGTAGATATATAAGGCAAGCACGCGGAGGGCCTCGCTCTTGTTTTGAACCTCTTTCAGTGATCCGACCGCAGTGAACCGACCACAGTGAACCGATCTAACAGTGAACCCTCTAAGTGAAGAAGCCATGGCCCGGGTTTTGGTCTGACTCAGCCGAACCGCTATGTAACGGTCGGTATATCTCAATAGAGCCGCCACAGAACGACCAAACCTTCAATTTTCGTGCGCGTATTCAAGAGGCTTATAGGCTCATTGTGTATCATTCTGTCAACAGTTATAAGTTATTACATTATTCAACTAGTGTTTTTGACCACACACCAGTCGCTCAGAATTCAAATTCAAATTTAATCACACATTGAAGCCATCCAAAGAAACAAGTCTAATTGCCAAATGTGCCACTCGTATAAGCAGTGAAGGGTGCTGACTGCATTAAGAGACACTACACTGCCACTACAGGTATGTTTATATACACACTTCTAGGCCACACGTTATATACAGGAGTATGAGCATATCTGTGATAGTCCTTACAACATTAGGAGAAGCCACGATATCGTCACTATCAAGGACCAACCTCATCATTGCGACAGAGTTTTACACTCTTATCTAAGAAGTGAAGCATGCTTATTTATAAATGTAACTGTTAATAAACCATATGTTAACGAAGTTTGCACATACTACACCTTTCTGTCACCCTTCCACTTGACGCCCACTCAAACATCTGCAAGAACGGACGGCAAATTATTAAAGCTATCGAAACACTAGCAGTTCGACTCTCACTCAAGCGTAACTGCCGGTCAGTGCATAGTATACTGTGAAGACGTTGCGTGGCCATATTTTCGACAGCATAGTTAAGACTACCCGCGTGTATAGAAAAGGTAATCGGCAGTTTTAATTAGTGATTATAGTGAAGCCAATGGAATAGTAATCAAGGGGGACATTAACTACACAGCATCTAATACACCCAGTCTGCAGTTCACCAGGTACACCTTTATATTAATAAAATAAACAAATCACATCTCGCGCTATAGTCGATCGGGCACACTTACGCTCTCTCGAACTGATCCCTCGACATCGTACAGGCCCGCTAGCAGAACCTGGGCACACTTACGCTCTCTCGAACTGATCCCTCGACATCGTACAGGCCCGCTAGCAGAACCTGGGCACACTTACGCTCTCTCGAACTGATCCCTCGACATCGTACAGGCCCGCTAGCAGAACCTGGGCACACTTACGCTCTCTCGAACTGATCCCTCGACATCGTACAGGCCCGCTAGCAGAACCTGGGCACACTTACGCTCTCTCGAACTAACCCTCGACATCGTACAGGCCCGCTAGCACAAACAGGGCACACTTACGCTCTCTCGAACAAACCCTCGACATCGTACAGGCCCTGAACAGCTGACTCAAGAGTCACTGTGGTTCACACACATTCGTCACAAAAGAACAACACAGATCGACTAATAGACTATAAATACAGATTGTTAAATCCTTCACGAATTAGCAATCTTACCATTAACTGCTTTTACCTGTGACTAGAATCTTCTACTGCCCCCTTACATAATTACAGACACAATTGATTATATAATAAATTCCATTAAACATCTGACACCACATCAAGTATAACTTCATCCATCAAGCATACTTGATTCTACACCATCATCCCATGCTGCCTCACAAGCATGATTGACTGACGACATCAGCTGACATTGACAACATCAGCATAACCTCAAAGCAACACAGTTATATTCATAGAAGCCTTCATAGCATTAGAATTACAAGAACACATCATTTGATAATCCAACAGAATTATTTATCACTACACAACAGTGCAATATTATTATAATTTTTTTACAATAATTAACCTTGTTTTAATAAATGTATTATATTTTTCAGCCTTGTCTGTTATTGTTTTCCTTTAAAAATATCCTGCCGAGAGACTAATCCACTGAACTATTGAATTGGCAGTACGAGCCATAAACTATCCCTTTAAAATCGAACATGAATAATATTCAATAAAGATATATATATATATATATATATATATATATATATTAAGCCTTAATAAAAAAAATATAAAATAAACGGCTTATCGATAACAGTACAAGTTTTTGCTTAATAAGTTAAATTATTTGATGAAACTGAATTATAAGGTAGAAACTAATTAATTAAAATTAATTTTTATTTAAATTTTTTTATTTTCTATCAAATTTTATAAAATGTCTTATAAAATTTTCAAATTAAAATAATTTAACGTAAAATCACGACACATATTTTTGATAACTCTATAAAATGTTTATTATTATCAATTTTAACAAATGTTTATTTAATACATCAAAATAATACAAAAAACTAGTAAACAGTATATTAGTTTTGGTACAAAGATAATTAGAATAAATAAATTCATTATAAAAATACGCGAACTATGTAAATTATAGAATATTAATCATAAATTCTATTTGATGATTAAGATTGTAAAAATAGGAATTTAAAATTGATGAACTATTCAAATTCAACCAGGCTCTAATTTAATGAGTTACGTAAAACCATGGTAGATTTAGACACTAGATGTTTGCGGTACATATTTAAATAAATTAAATTAAAAAGTACATTAGATAATTATTTCTTTTTCTACTGTAATAAATATGTACATATTTTTTAATCAAAATTCAATAATCATTTTTATCATTAAGTAATACAATTTAATTATTTTTTTTACTTTTTTACAATTTAATAATAGAATTTATACTTATTTAATAATGTTATAGGCTTCCAGTACCATGGCTGTTATATGGATTAATTTATGGAATACCAGTCGAAGTTAATTCAGTCGGGATGGTTTGTAGCATTACAATTCTTTTTTGTATGCTACTATTTGTTATACTAAGTATATCTTTTTTCAAATGGCGTATGAATAAAGGATTAGGTTTTACTATGTTTCTTTTATATTTTGTATTTGTAACAGTGTCGCTTTTGTTTGAATATGAAACTCTTATTTGTCCAGTTTAATTTTTAAATAGTGTTGAAAAATAACTTTAAACACCAGTAAATATAGGATATACAATATAATATGCACAACAGCGATTGCATTCATATAAAAATCAAATAAAATAAAAATTTAATATGTTACAAAATTGTAAATAATGTATAAATTTAAAATAGCGAAATAAAATAATATAGTTATCTGTTATGAATTATTAATAAAATGTTTAAATATGAAATTTAATATTATTGATTATGATTTTTTTACTATTTTATACAAATAGAAATAACATTATTCTTTTATGTTGTTATCAAGATATTTATAGCACTTTGAATCTGATTAAAGTATATTATTGTTCAGATAAATTATTCATCCTTTCCAGAACCCTACATATTATTTTAAGAAACTCATAAATTTAATGTTACACAATCCTTTACTGACTTAGCTATTGTAGAATATAACATTATTTATAAAATTTAAAAAATGTAAACAAAGTTTTTATAATTTACATTGACAATTTAAAATTTGTGCATTTAACTATAAAAATTAATAAATCTGACCGTCATATTTATATTTCATATGTGATCATCTATTAGAATAATTCAGAAATATACAAATTATTTTTAAGTATTTTTCAAATAATTTGTTCATTATAATAAATTTTAAAGCAAAATTATAATTATTTCCTTGATAAAGTTAGATACTTAAACAACATATAAAATTAATAAACTTTAATTGTCTCGGATTAGACTCAAACTTCCAGATGTTCGTAGGATTGCGGGCAAGTGGAAGGGTTGCCGCATTTGTTCAATAACTAACTAAATTTGCTTATCATGCTGTTTATTGATCTTTATTTTATAAACTACACAATAAATATGATTCTAAGATGATGTTGAGAATCGGTGAAATCTTGCAGTTTGGTGGTAGTTGTTACACTGAAAGTAAGAGATCGTAAATCCCTGATAATTCTTCGTTAAGGCCGTCCGCAGGAGCTTCGCGAACAAATAAATGCCGTTGTAGCCGATGACTTTTCGTACACCTTCAATCATTCGCGGGAGTTTCGCGATCCAATAATTTATTTAAAGTGTTTGAAGTACTTAACATTAAAAATTCAATTCTACAAATTTGTAATCGTTATAGCTCGCAATGTCGTGAACGTTGACTACGAAAATTCTCGATAAAATTAAAGCCCTTGCTTGAGAACGTCCTGCAATGCTTACCCATTATTCGCATAGCAACTACGGTAGAAGTCCCCAACCGGCAAAATCTTATCTTCCGATAACTCGAAAGAAATTTCTGGAAGTGCAATTTTTAACGTCAGGCGGGAAACGGCGGAATAGTAACACTAAGTCATTATTTCTAGAATAACGACAACGCGCACGCATATATTAAGGGCAACGTGCGTCAAATTCAATCAGTCTTATTGAGTGAGTCTAGAAGAAATTGTGCAAGTTATCTGGTAAGATATCTGGTAAAGTTCAACGCTTTGTACACACCTCCATCAAAAGGGGTCTGTGCAAGGTATACTGCTAATAACTAATCACCATTTATTGCCATCGGGCGCAAAATCATTCGCGGTAAGCCTTCAGCAAGGATAATTATCATTTATTGCTACGGAGCGCAAATTCGCTCGCGGTAAGCCTTCAGCTATACTGATTATACCGCTACAGGGCGCCGCCAATTGCAACACGCCTCTAGCAAGACCAAGCTTCCCTTGCATACTCTGACAAGGCCTCAGTAAAACGGTGGTATGGTTTAATCCAATCACCTTGGTCTCTCAAACGCCCGGTGAGTGGTATTCCGAACACACAAAAACTCATTTATCTTACACAATCGTGTGTTGAGCGCGCAGATTTTTCTTCATATGTCATGATTGTTCTTGGAATGTAATCAGCACTCTTGACGGCTGGAGTGATAGCGCACTTGAACAATTATAAATTATAATGACTTCACTGTATTGGCTTACTATTTTATCGTTTGCAGAGTCTAGCTGAATTATGCGCGTATAGTTAGTAAAACTAACTGACTGGTACAAGGCGGAGTTTAGTCGCAGTGTAGAGTAATAACTGATAACTGATTGATTGAGAAATTTACAGTAACAACAGTGCATAGGTGTGTTGCTAGGCCGAAAGTCTGGTGACGTCAGAGACTAAGCTCTAGAAAATTCGAGGATTCCAGAAAGACAAGGCATTGGAAGGTTCGCGAATTTTTAATCGACGATACTATGCAGAAATATTATTAGGACACTCGAAAATTAATACGTAGTATATACAAGAATTCACAGAATCAATGTTTACAAATATAGGCGTCAGAAGGCTTGTTGTTACGGATTACAGCAATTTTACGCGATAAACAAAGTGGGAGAGGTAAAGACACCTGTGCTTAGTTCGAAACACTGCGCGCCGAGTCATGAACACGATTCTACGAAATCGGGAAACTTCACTACTCAAATAGTCGAAATTACATTACAATTCCGACTAACAAGGGCCGACGAACTCTCCAAGGCTAGATTCTAGTGACGTCACTCTAACAATCAGCATGACAAGAGTGATCCAGAATTCACCGGAATCGCAAGCCTGTGCTACGATATTTAAGGAGACGCGCTTGACGCTCTCACTCTCTTACTAGTTCAATCAAGCATTCATCAAGATCGGATCGCCGTCCTACAGATCTAATCCAGTTCAACGTAAGCCAAGCTAGTCTCGGCCACCCAACACTGTACAGAACGACTCCAGCCCAACGGAAGCCAAGCTCACGGCCTCCCAACGCTACTATACGGATCAACCTCAACACACGTAAGCCACGCTATTACACACGTTTTTACGTACCATCAATGCAACTGAGATCGACTCCACACACGTAAGCTACGCTATTACACACGTTCTTACGAATCACTAATACACGGCTCCAATCAACTAAGTAAGCAGCAATACTAATAAGTGGTATACGGTACGAGGAATACTCCCACCCATCATGCAGTGACGTGTCACGGATATCCTCCCTCCACTAGACCGCTACAGCGTACATCTCGCTAGCGGCAACAGCATCATCACTGCCCCGCATCAGTGACGTCACACAGGCGCCCCCCACTCAGGCCGTTACAGCTCTTCTCGCAACGGCAAAAGCGGCACCATCGCTGCCCCTTATCAGCGCGAATCTCCCACTACCACTGCGAATTCATAACTGCAAGTAGGAGAATCAAGCACCAAGCTACCAAGATTACACTTACAGGATTCTTGTCATTGCTCATATTAATTGAAGAAACTCTCATCTATTCATTTTATCATACATTCATTTGACATCCATAGATCGCTGACTACTTATTATATTTATTATATTCAAGAAAGAGAAAAATACTACATTCAAAGGCAGTGTTGAATTATTGTATTGTCCCTTCCACTTGCCAGCAAGCCTCCATCCACCATCACATGGAGGCTATTAGTCTGATCCCAGACACTTGTACTTATCCAATTTTAAAGTCTAATCACGAACATTAATCAATATCTATTAAAGTTTTAAAAAAGTATTATTTATTTTTATCTAGAAGAAAAAAATATTGTTTAATTTTAGTTTTTGTTTTTATATATATCTTCTCATAATATATAACTTCTCACAATTTACCATTATATTTTCAAAGCATTCTTTTATTAATTAGCTTTATTTACATACCGTTGTAGCATATAATTGTACTTTACATAATTATTATGTAGCATCTTGTATACAGATATATATATTTGTCCGAGTTCAGACTGAAAACCTCCTTTAGATATTGGATGGAGGTATTGCTGGCAAGTGGAAGGACAATGCAATTATTCAAGACTACTGATAGTGTTTATTGTCGTTCCTTTTATTAAATATAATAATATTATAAATAATTAATAATTATGAAGTATATGAATAATGGTATAATTCATTTAAATACATGAAGTTTCTTTATACTGTTACGTGTTGATGAATGTATATCCTTTTCGTTGTATAATGAGTAGGTGCTATCTTAGTATACATTAAATTGCTGATTTTTGTATTATACGTTGGTGCCGCACTTGTGTATACATCGGTCTTATCCGTGAGTTGCTTCAATAGCAGTATGAATGGTGCCGAGCTTGTGTGTGCGTCGGTCTTATCCGTGAGTTGCTTCAATAGTATTATACATTGGTCCCGTCGCCTGTATATGCGTCGGTCTTATCCGTGAGCATATATAATATGATTTTTATGTTTTCACTGTTGTTTTATCTTAGCACTAATGTGTTATCAATTTAAGTCAAGTGTAATGAATTTTAGAATATAGAATCACTATTTATTTCTTAGATTATTTACTTGATTGATTATTATGTATGAATCGCTACAATTTGTGATAACTGTAGAGAAAAGCTTGAAGATGAATAACGCGCTTGTTATAATGACTGTGTAATTAAGACTAGACTGAGGAAAAATTGACTGTTGCGCGTGAAGGGCAGTCCTTAAATACTACTGCACTATTCCTTAAACGCTGATGTTTGTTGCCATGATGATATTGGTTGTGACGTCAACATGGCATAGTCTGGAACGATTCATTGCTGTTGTTTTGTTTAAATAACTGAATTGCGCGTTCATACCTCTTCCACTTTTGACTTTCAACTTTTTAATCCGTAACAATATTTATTATATATATCTGTATATTATATATTATATATATTATATATTTATTTCTCTTAAAATTAAATCTATAAACAATCCCAAATTATTAGTTATCAAATACAAACTTTACAAAAATTTGTTTAATATTTTTCTAAATTAGTCTAAAAAAATGAACTACAAATAATAGATATGCTAGTCAAACTAATATATTGCAAATATGATAATAAAATTTGTACAAAATGTATTCGCTGTTCCAGCTTTTTTTACCAAGACCGGTTCGAAGGATACAAGTTGATGCCGTTGACAACTCAGAGACCACGGGTGTGGTGTGGTAGCGATGAAAGATCGGAAGTGGAAGGGACATTATAATAATACAATATAAATATGACTGATGTATATGCTGTTTATTCTGTTATTTATTGACGACAAGGTTGACTAGTATTACTATTATTAATTATGGAAATACTTCTCGTGGTGGATTAATGTACACACTCATCTATGCAGCATAATGGTTGAATTTGATCGCAGAATGGCGCGAAGTTTGATTCGTCGACACTCGCGCTGTTTGGATGAACACGTGCGTATTGAGGTTATAGATGCAGCGTGATGATTGAATTTGACCGCAGAATGGCGCGAAGTTTAATTCGTTGACACTCGTACTGTTTGTTGCTTAAATTCATAAGCGTCCGAACTTGAACTAAGGTGAGGGTTTGCCGACAAGCCGCCCTTTAGTGGGCGCGAGCTTGGCGACGCGTATTGGAATCTATTCCGCACTATTGCTCTGGGGAGAGGTTTTTCGTCCTTAGTTGCTTGTCGATGTCATAATCTCTGAATCTCAGAGTATGTAATTATTGTAGTAATAATACTACGTACGAAAACTAATCGTTGACTCACCTCTGGACTCTGATATGCGGATTGTCGTCGCTCCTCTAGGACGTGAAAGCACTGTTCCCTTGACAGCGTTAATGGACAATCCGATAAGTGGTAGACGTTTCTTACGACTACTACTGCACCGGCTCCAACGCCTCCGTAAGAAGTAACGCATCCCCGACTTTCCTTACAACTACAATTACAATAGCTCCTGTCACCTACGTAAGCAGTAACGCACCACGAACGTTCATCCCTACTACAACTACATCGGATCTCACGAATACCTATGCAGCGAGGCATCACGAACATCACTCGCCACCAAAGGTATAAGAGTGGTTCTCAAGCTCACGTAAGTAACGCACACTATCGACATTGCATTACACCTATACGAGCGAACCCCCCGCTCACTCAAGCAGTGACGCAACATGGATATTCTCCCACCACTCCGACAACTACGGTGTTCACTCTACAACCGGCGGTTAATGCGGCGCCAACTCGCTGCCCCTTTCAGTGTGAGTCTCCCACTACAGCGATTCATCGTACAAGGAAAAGGGGTGAATTACATTTCAATGTACCGAGAATACACTTAGAGGCTCATCGTTACTATCATCAATTGAAGAAACATTCATCTATTTATCCTCTCACACATTTATTCCGACATTTATAGATCATTGACTAATTGTTATATGTATGATACTTAATAAAGGAAGATATTTAACGCTAAAGACTGTATTGAATAATTGCATTGCTCTTTCCACTTGCCAGCAACACCTCCACCCACCATCATACGGAGGTTTTAAGTCTGATCCCAGACACTGACACTCGGGAAAGGTTCTGACCATCTCGAACAGTATCATTTCGGAAGTATCGGCTTGCCCAAACCTCCAATGACCGTCCGAGAATTTTCTTAGAAGTTATGACCATTGAATCATTTCCCCAAAATGATAACCCAAAATGTTGAAGTTTTTCATCGAATCGATAATCGTTGTGATATATTGAGAATATTCTGTACTAGTTATAATACTACATATTATATTATATTATTCGATAGTTCATTTTGATTTGCCGCCCGCCCTAGCGGATGCTTGGGTAAGGACTTAAGTGGAAGGGTTATAGTGATATACAGTGTGTGCAAACTTCGTTAAATATGGTTTGTTATGATTTATTGACAATTACATTATCGATGAGTTAAATTTACTTCTTATAGGAGAGTGTATTGATTCTATGTTTAATAACAACGATGCAGTTGCATTGAACTCATCCTGTGGTGAATATTTCATCAACACGAGAGGCTCTTTCTTGATGGTGACAATGTTGTTGCTAATCTTGTAAGGATTAGCAATGAATTATGCATACTCCTCAGTAAGAAGTATGCCTTATACTATTTTTTGTCACAACGATACAGTTGCCTTGATTTGATCCTGTGATGAATCACATCACCATCATGAGAGGCTTCTGATATACCTTTTGTGATAAGGAGTGCTTCGATACTGTGTTTCTTGTAGTCTAATATTTTCTTGAAATGGAGGAGATTGTGTCAACACCTTTTTATTGCTGGTTAATTAATATAAGGGCCTTACTAAGAGAGAGCGCTTTCTCGAAGTGGGCTTGCTTTAAAAATCCACGTGACAGCCTACTTAGAGCTGCTAACAATGGATGCTATTGGTGTTGCTAGACGGAGACTAAGTAAAAATTGTAGAAAGTTCGAGAATTATAAAACTTTAGAAGGCTTGGAGAATTCCGAGAATCATAAAGCGTTAGGAATTCCAAGAGCTAAAAGGCTTGGAAAGTTCTCGAAATGTCAAACATGTATATACTAATAATCTGTATTTAATTCAGTTTTTTATAATTTTTTTTTCAAATTTAATAATATTTATTAAGATGTATTAAAATATTTTTAATTTAGGAAATTTTATTGATTTATTGAAAATGATTTTATGTTGGTACTTAGCTAATACTTGAAGAATCTCAACATTTTTAATGTTTGTCTTTTTTATTTCTAATAGTAATAATAGATTTTTCTTTTTAGGACAAAACAAAAAGTATTGTTTCAAAATTCATACTTATATTATGTAGATGTTTATTATTTACTTTAAATTATAAGATTACATTAAATATTTATTTATAATATATTTTGAAAGTATTCATTTATGGAAAGCAGTGAATTTATTATAAGGTTTGATCATACAAAAGTGCCTGTCTGCTAATGTAATTAGAAAATTAAAAAGAATTTCTATTTTTATTTATTTTTTCACGTTACATGTTTAATATATAAAAGTTGGAATGTTCCAATGTATAATATATCTATAATCTTAGTAACAATACATACAATTGAAGAGAACCGTGACAAAAGTAATGATTTTATAAGTTTCAAAAACGATAAAATGTTTATAAAATGGTTTATATTAAAAAATATTTAAGATTAAATCTAGTAAAAAATTTGACTGTCCCAGAAATATAAGTACTTATTACGTTTATTATTTACATAATTTAACATTTATATTTAGGAATGTTATTTACATATTTTCCCAAAAATACGCAGTATATTGATTCAGCAATGTTGGTTTCATGATGCCGCTATAGTAACTTGATGAAAGGTATGCATCGTCAATAAGCAATTGTCTGTATGCTGTAAACACTTGAAATGAATCATTCGATTTAATTATAGTTATAATTGTAGTAATAAAATATATTTATGTACATTGATTGTATGTAGATTCATTTTTCAACATTCGCTTCGTGCATAAACGTAAACGATTAATTTACTCAGTAGAAACGTAATATTTTGTTATATTTATTTTCATTTATTCTTATAAGTTAATATTTTTTTATTTATCTTCAATTTTTTAATTAGCAGAAACAAGACAATTTTTCTCCAAAGATAATTTTCATTTTAGTATAATTCTATTTTATTAAATATTTTGTTTCTAATATCTTATATTTCTATTTTATAGACCTTTAAGCATACTATTTTAATTGCATAATAGATTTATTTTATAATTCAGAATGATCAATAATATTTTATAGTATCACATATTTATAAATAAAATGATTTTTTTATTGAAATTATAAGATATTTCATAAATATATAAAATTTCTAAAAAATTACAGAAGTAAATATATTAGCTTACATAATTGCATATTTATGTGTATACTGCTTTTTGCCTGCATAGCTCCATTGTTGAAATATTTATTTATGTACTATGACATAACTACTTTATTTAGTTGTTACTTATAAAGAGATGTGATAAATTAATGTAAGTAAGAAAAATGATTACTGCGCCACATATATAATTTTTAAGGTATAAAAATTATAAATTATAAATTAATTGAAATTATTACCATATTAACATACCAAAGTGCGATTTTCGGTCTTTTGTAATTATCATACGCGCAGGCCTCAGCTCATTGGCGCTCGCGAAAGGGCGGTAAATGAATATTATATTCGTATAATGACCAATGAAATAAGACTTCAATGAAGATAGCAGAATATCCAAATAATTTATACTACCGTAAAGATGCAATTGTATTAAGAACGTAAAGTAGTTTATTTGCGTAGTCATAATTTCATTTAACTTTACATATTTATTTATAAATTATATCTATCAACTTATATTATAATTTTTATTAATTTACTCAAAAAAATCTCTTGCAATATCTATTTATTAGCTTTATTTCGTCATTTAAATTTTGCATTACATTTAAACAAAAGGTAAATTGAAGCTATGTATTAATAAATTATTTAATATTTATATAATTACTAATATTTTACGGATGAAAAATGAATAAATAATTTACTGATATTTTTTATTTATTTAGAGATTTTTAAGAATGACTTGATAATCTTACAAGTAAAATTAATTATATATCATGTTAAAACTCAAAATTTTAATTATTTTAGATTTTATATATTTAATTAATGAAATTTTTTTCAACTAAATCAATCATATATAAGTATACATATTTTATTTGATTAAGCTGAAATCACAAGTTTCTACAAAAGCATAATGAATTGAATCAAATTTTAAATAATTGAAGAAATTCATATTATATTTTGTTCTATAAATATGGCAAATCATTATGAAGTTCCAAATTGGTAATATTTTTAACAAATTATTTTTCATAAATATTCAATTTGTATAAATTATACATTCTTTAAATTTATTATAGGGCTGGAAAACCCCCTATTGGCTTACATTTGGATGTTCTAAAGGGTGAGAAACTAATTCAGGTAAAAGAATAGTCGTGTTAAATTTAATTTTGTTCTAAAAACCAATTTTTCATATTATCATTTTTCTAGAAATTAATGGTAGATGAAAAAAAGTGTTACCTGTTTGGTCGCAATCAACAATTAAATGATTTTTGTATTGACCATGCATCTTGCTCAAGAGTTCATGCAGCTCTTGTGTACCATAAACATCTAAATAGAACATTTTTAGTTGATTTAGGAAGTAGTAAGTAAGATTATTCTAAAATATCTATATAATTAGTTTAAAGTATATTAACTATATAATTTTTTAGCTCATGGAACTTATATTGGTAGTATGCGTTTAGAATCACAAAAGCCTACCCAATTACCAATTGATAGTGGTTTTCATTTTGGAGCATCCACACGTTATTATGTTATCAGAGAAAGACCACAAACTGGAATAAGAGCAATAATTGATGAACTGGAAAAAAATAACGATGATCAAGATACCGGTGGCTTGCTAGGATTACCTGAAACCGAAACCGAACTTGATGCAAGTGCCAACTTAATTTTCCTTTTTAATATTATTTTATATTTATAAATTTTTCAATTCAATAGAATTTAACAGAATTCAATACTGCTCATAACCGAAGAATTTCTATGTTGGGTATAACCGATGATGAAATTCATAAAACTACAAGAAAACGTAAAAAAAAAGGTATTACTTTTAATGATGACGAAGAAATTATAAATCCTGAAGATGTTGATCCATCTGTAGGTAGATTTCGTAATTTGATTCAAACAACAGTTGTTCCTAGCAAAGTACGTACAAATTTTTTAATTTTTAAATGTATGAAAAATAAATATATTTTTTTATAGAGAATGAGAATGGAAGGTGGATTAATATCTCTCTCGGAAGAAACAACCAATTCTATAAAGCACATGCAACCAACATCTGCTGTACAACCACTATACCATAATTTACCTCCAGAACAATTTTCATCTACATCTCAGAATCTATTTTCAATTGCCTTAACATCATTAACATCAAGGTTAGGCATAGGATTACCAAATCCAGCACCTGAAGTAGAAATGATACCTAACCAAATACAAGTAGAACCTGTACATGCTACTGAAGTTAATGGTTCGATAGAACCTCATTCAATGGAACCAAAAAAGAAAAAATATGCAAAAGAAGCATGGCCAGGAAAAAAGCCATTGCCAACTCTTTTAGTATAACAAATAACATAAAATTAAAATTTAATATTATAAATTTATCGTATACTTTTATTTTTTTTTAATCTTATATCTTAAACATTACATTTATTAAATTCATGCTTAAACAAATTGATTATTTAGCAATAACAGAAGAATTCTGAGTTTTATTCAAACAATATTCAACTATAGCATAAACAGTTAAAAGTCTTCGATCAATAGCATTTAAATGTTTGTCTGTAATTATTGGCAAAACATCTGCCATAGAGGACTCGTGAGCCAGCAATTCTTTCAAAGCATAACTAAGTGAACCACCACTTAAAAGTTGTAGTCTATCCCATGTTGTTTTACGTACACTAAAAGTAAAATATTTAATATTAAAATTATATGTAGTTCATTTTTATTACTACATATACTTAAACATCTGAAATGTCTGTCTAAAGTACATAAAATAATGTATCTATGAAACTTTAATACTAACATACAACATTGATAAAGTGGTGCCAAGATATCAATATGATCTATATCAGGATTTCCAAGGCTTTTACCATTATCAATCAACAAGATAGTAGGATCTTTAAAACTATCCTTTAATAATTCATAATGATGACGATCTCCGTTATCTATTAGAAAATCAAAAATAGCAGTATCAATTAAATCTAAAAGTCTATTTGAAGATTGAGCTGAATAGGTTTTTAATAGTTTTACCTAAAACAATATTACTTTATAAAAATTAGAACATTTATTATGCTAATTTTAAATTCAAATAAATACTTTATTGCAATAATTTATATCCACTTCCCACAGAGCAGGATATTTTCTTGTATATGTTCTTTGCCAAGGATGTTTATATTTTGCAAGTTTCCAATTTTGTGGTAGCCACAAAAGGACTGTTCCTTCCAAAAGGTCTTTCACTCCGCAAACTGGATCAATAGGAGAGCAATAGTGACAAACACCATAAAAACAAGTATTATCTCCATTTTGATAAATTGTTGATAGTAATTCTGGAGTAGCATTTTTTTCTATTTCTTCTTTTAATTTTACTAAAATTATAAATAGGATATTTTTATATCTTACACAGTGCATGTATATATGTGTATCAAGTATATAATTTAATTTATTGCATTTAATAAATTTAAAAATTTAAAAACATGATAATTGTACTTCCATATCAAGATAATTTTGATTGTACATATCCATGTAAAATATAAAAAAGATTACATATTAAGTTAAATTATACATTCATTTATTATAGAAACATAAAATTTACATTTAATAATTTCAATGTTTTTCATTCTATAAATTAAAAGATTTTTAAATTATTAATCATTTTAATTTATTATTTATTAATTTTCTTTATAGTTATATTCTAATTGACTTATTTTAGGATTTATGATTTATTTTGTATAAAAAAGATTTAAACTGTCATTTTTAAAATAAAAATATTTGGAACATTGTATAACTAGTTATTATTGAAGAAAACGTTTTAATATATAAAATTAGATAATTATTTATCATTATTATAGATTAATTTATGTTCATATGATAATTAAAAAATTTAATTTGCTATTTAATATACAACTATACTGTATAACCTATCTTCTAAAATTAATTTTTTATAATAGCATGTTTGATTATGATATTTTTGAATATAAAACTAAATTGAAATGTTCCAAATTATTCATATATATTAAAAAAAGTTAAACTGTGTGCATATTCTTTGCATTGTAAACTATTTGGTTGTAGATTATTTTTTAAAAAGATTAGAATTTATTTTTGTAATAATTATCAATGGAAAAGCTATTAATAAAAATTTTAATGTGATGTAAAGATATACTACAAAACTAGATTAACTTTAAACACGGAAATTTGCTTGAATATTCATTCAATAAATACATAAAAATATCAACAAATTTATTAATAGGTTATATATATTGTAATGATCTTTATAACTTACAGAATTTATATAAATATTTTAAGTATTTGAACAAATTGAAGTAGTATATCAATACTTTTACTTAAATATTTAAATGTTACATATTTTATTTAATTTACTTAAATATTTAAATTTTACATATTTTATTTAATTTAACCAAACATAAAAGAATTTAATAATTACTATTTATTTAAAATATTATCAGACATAAATTAGTTTCTGTAAATTTCAATCAATTGTAGAATATTCTATTAAAAATTATCTAAAAGAAATATATATTTTCTGTCATTTTTTAGGTGTAAATATTTCTGTTTTTCAATTTTGCAAATTATTTTTTATGTTCATTATATATAGTGTTACATATATTACATTAAATTTACTTGTTTATAGTACATTTGAATACATTGCATTTTATATACCAGTTTATTGCAGTTAGAAAATAGAAGACAATTAATATTTAAGAAATATTTTACTGTATGAAAAATTTAAATAATTTGATAAATGATAATTAAATTGCAAAAGGTATTTGAAACAATATATAATAGCACAAAAGATTCATTCTCCATGAAAATATTATTTTTAATAAAAAAAAGATGAACAATATTGACATCATGAAATAAAAAAAAAAGGGGCTACTCCAATAATGAGTTAATTTTATTATAAGTTAGTTATATTAATATTCTAATAATGTATTAAAATCCAGAAGAAATGAAATTTTAAACATTGTATAGTTGTAATTCAGTTGATGACTTAGTACTGTATAAATTCATATATATATATATATATTTATTTTTATTATTTAAAATTTCATTTTTTATATATCTAATTTTAGATGTGATTAGTTATTAAAGGAAATCGAATAATACTTGTAACCAGTAATCAATAAGTTATAACATGATATCTTACAGAAAATAACAATGTACATCAAGTAGTATAGTTGTTAGAAAGATTGACTATGTTAAAAAAGGGAATGAATGAACTAGATAGTTTATATAATTTGAGTTGATAACAGTTGATAAATATAGAAAAGAAACAAGTTTTATTACAGTCTGTATAGTGCTTGTACATTATGTTGTCAATATATTTTTTATATAATTTTTTTATATAAAATTAATTATATTTCATTCATATTACTTATTGTTAAATGGAATAATAATACAACCATTTTGCACCTATATTATTAAATTTATGAAATGTGTATAATATATTTTATTAATTTATTTTATAATTTTATTCTTTTTATATTGTTAATAAAATCATTATATAATAATTTGCAAGTAATAAAGAGCAATTTGTTCTCAATAATTATTTTATTATAAAATCTTTAAAATATTATATTAAATAGCTTTTTTTGTAATTATTCATTCTTAATGAGAGTAATTTTTAACTGGTGTAAATATATAAAAATTTAAAATTGGTATTCTCTTGATAACCACACATAAAAATAATATATATTTAATATAGGTACTTAAAATTATGATTGTGTTCTTAATATTTTGAAGATTTAAATGGTTACATATATTTTGCATATATGCATGGATTTTGACAAAATTAAAATTTTTAAGAGCTAAAATTTATAAAAATATCTAAATTAAAAAACTTTGTGAAACATAAATATAATAAAGCAAAAAATCTATATTATTATCTGATAAATAAAAAGAAAATAAAACGAATTACAATATTACTGTAAAATATGATTGGTATTCCAGGATACCAAGTATAGTATGAATTTAAACAAGCATAAAAAATAATTTTATTACTATTATCATACCTTTCACACATTTTATAATTAATTTTAATAACTTATTTTGAAAATATATGTAAAATACGGTTTATAACTATTTAAATAACAATTTTATTGATTAGTTATATATATTTTTTTTAGAAATAAATGGTATCTTTTAGAATATATATTCTTTTATACAGAGTAATGATATTTTCATAATATTACTATTTTATTAAAAAAAATAGCAAAAAATTTTCTAAAAAGTGCTTTTAAATAACTAAGTATTTTCATTTAATATTTATTTTTAATTTTGAATGTAGATTTACAATTTAGAAGTGTAAGATGAATTAATTTTTTTAATATTTCTTAAATGATTTTGAACACTGAAGATTCTTCAAATTTGTATTATTTCGAATTGTAAAACATTTTTTTTCCTTTGAATACAATTTTTATATATAAAGTTATTAAAACATTAAATATAAACATAAAATAATTACGATTTTCTGTCTTCCTTATAAGAGAATATAATAAGTACAAATACATTAAAATATTTTGATTAAAAGTATATTATATTAAATTTACATAATTTGTTATCTTGTAAAATCTATCTATTAAAAAAAAAACTTATTTGTATATAAAAAGTACTTTTGCTTACACTTCCTTATTAATGCTAATGGCACTCTTCGAAGAGAAAGTAGCAATGCTAAATAAAAAGCTACCACTTCTGCATTATGTCTATCCTTGCCATAATAAACTGGACCTTCAATTTTTTTAGTTCGACTATACCATTGAGGTTTGAATATTGCTCTTAACCCATTTTGGAATGTCAAAAAAAGTTTCAGTTGTGTCCCAACTTTAGCTGTATCAGCTTTAATAATTTTTATATGTCTTAATAATTCTATAATTGTTCCTAATTCTGGTGAAAAGGATGGAATTAATTGTTGAGCACTTGTCCACTACAATATATATAAATAATGTAAAATTAATGTTTCTTATTGTTAACAGATTTAATTAAATATTGAAACGTAGTATACTATTTTATTATACTTACAGTTTTCAAAACTTTAAGAGTATCATTACTTGCATTTTGATGTATTTGTAATTCTAAAATAATTTTATCTAGTATACTTATATAATTTGCATTTTGTTGAAAATATTTTGATGGAAGTATTTGGATTTTTTTAATAATATTTTGTTGTATACACTCAACAGTTAACATTTTTGAATACAAATAATCAAATTGGGAATCTGTATTTTTCTTTTCTGATATTTTTTTAATTGAAGAATTTAGATTTAATTCAGAGTTGTTGATAATATTAATAAAGTAAAAATTTATAATTAAAACTACAATGAGAAGAGTTAATAATGAAAAAACTAGATATCGTAGAAGTATCATCTAAAAAACAATGCTAGCGTTAGTATAAATATAATACAGTTTGTTAACAATAAGATATTTTGATATATGATAAATATATCATCACAGAACTATCTTATGACAAATTAAGATGAATAAAAAATATTTTATTAAATTATTTTTGTTGAATTTGGTTCTATAATTTGATTTATGTTCAAATATTCTATTACAGGAATATTAAAAATCTGGTATGATCAATATATTACAAAAAAATAAGTATGCAGGCGATACATATTATGTAGAATGTTTTTGTTGATTGGTTCAGATCAGAGGTTAAGTTAGTAATGGATACAAATGAAATATCAGTAAATAAAAGTAGAAAATAATCCAGTAAAAAAAAAAAACGTCAAAAACTTAAACAAATTAAAAATGTATTGTTGTATGTTAAGAAACAAAAATTATGTATAAACTTTACATAAATTAAATTCAAAACCATTTTTAGAAGTTTTCATACTTCCATACTTTTTTAGTATAATAAAAAAATATTTGTTTTTGTCATGAAAATATTGTTTACTTATAATGGATAAAAAAATTTTCTATTTTAGCCCTAACTGGTAATAATTGTTTACACATAACAGGAAAGAAAATAGCAGCAATCATTAAAATATAATTCAATTATTAAATTTTAACAAACGTTAAAATACATAAAAGTTAAGATAAAATATTGATCAACAGATTCATTTTATCAAGTTTTCTGATAAAATAGCATTTAATATATTAAACTCTGAAAAACGTAAATACAATCAGAATCATTTGAAAAAGTAGAATTTGATTTGATTGTTTTACATATCTTCTTATCTAAATTGTAAAATTATATAAAATGATGTTTAAGAAAAAAATTCGAAATTGTCTAATTTTAAAAATAATTAACAATTCTTACCACTATCTAAAATAATTGAAATGCAAAGTAAAAGAAATCTATTACTTATATAGCATTAGAAATTATTAATCTATGTTCAATGAAAAAAAGTAATACAGAAAGTAACAGTTTTAAAAAATTAAAAATAATAAATATATCCAACAATTTTTGTAAAATATTTCATATTATATTACTTAAAAATATATATAACATTCAAAACATATATAACATAAAAATTAGTAGGTATAATTTTTGAGTAGAGTATAAATTTGATATTGTTTAATTAATTACTATAAATAAAATAATAATTGTAAATTAAATATTAAATGAACACAAGACAGTAAAAAAAGTATTGTGATACAATGTTTGTAAATAATTCTTGGCAAAGAATAAATATAATTGTAATATTAAGATAAAATAATATAAATCAAGGTTAAAGTTTTTAAAAAAATAAGAGTTACAAAGTCATATCACAAAGCGAATATTAACGAGAAAACTGATATGCTAAACAAAGATACACTGGAATATTTATTTTGTTTTTTATTCAATAAAAATAATAAACGTAATATACATCTTGGTTAATATTTGAAAAATTTATAAATAACCAAATACTCAAATTAGAAATATAAAAAAAAATAATGGGTTGCGTTTGGATACATTTTATTACAAAACAAAATAATAAAGTATATTATAAAAAATGGTAATAAAAATTTACAAATGAACGTAAACTTATATAACTAAATCAAATCAAAATAGATGGTTATTCTCATTCACTAATGCTCTTTTTTAAGAATTAAAAATTTTTCAATTACCTTTCAGTCAATAAAATTATCTATCTTTAAAATTAATTTAAAGTTGACATTCTATAAAGATATTCTATAAGAATATTTCTGATATAAATATATAATAATATTCTCATTGATAATGCCATGAATTAGTATTAAATTTAATCACTATTAGTAAAATATTCACTGATTAAAGACAAATTTATCGTAACATTATTACAATTATTTTATATATTTATGGAAGTGCATATTATGATATATAATTAGTAAAAGTATTAAAAAATTTTATAAAAACTTACAGAACTTAAATCAATTTTTAGCACGAAATACCAAAATAATTTATTATTTTATATATTGTTTAGTGTGTCGAATTTTTTAGATTTACTTTTGATTGTTTTTCATTTGCATAAAGTAAATGACAAATGAATGTAAACTATTTATAACAATTGTTAGCAATATATATAATATGTATTTTCTCAAAATTATTTTCTTTCTTCGAATAAATATGATTTACAATATTTGAAGTTATTAACTAAATTATTTTAAGATATAAATTATGTAGATTAGTTTATACTCATCTTTTTCATCATAAAATGATTGATTTCCTAATTATTATTGCCATAATTTTAACTGGTATAGTCATATGTTTTCTATATAACAATAAAACAATGAAATTAATTTTATTATCGAATAAATCTCGATTATACAACATTGTAGTTTATTAGTCTAGAGCTCTTTCTTTTATCATTATGCGAATTTATTATATTTTATTATTTTTTCAATTTTTCAATGCTTCTGAAAACAATACATTGAAGAATTATATATTCTTTAAATTTGTTAATTGTTGAACTTATTAGACGAATATTTTTACTAAAAAATAATATTTTTAGAAGAAATAACGTAATCCAGAATTTGTATTTGTCATTTGAGTTGAAATAGAAGTGTTGCAGAATTTTATTAATTACAAAATGATGATTTCAGAGTAAATTCATTTCGTAAATGTAAAATTTTATATATGGACAAGTTGATTAATATACCCTTTTTATATTGTATTCGCGGTCGTTGAGTGTCAATAATTTCAAATTATTACATTATCAAGATATGAAAAATATAATACTGATTTTAATGAAAGATTAAAAGATTAAAGAAGTAACCAAATATGCACTCTAGCCTTAATGATTCCATGAATTCTTATTACTAAGCAAGTTTGGATAGTTTAAAAAAAATTCTTTTATATTTCATTGAACTTCCTTATTCAATCATCAATTATTTATTGACTCTAATATCATTTTCATATATTAAAACACTCTTTTCCTCATATGTAGATATGAACAATATATGTTCTTGAGTAAAATGAAGACTTTTGTTTTTAAAACGGAAATATTTAATATTTAATATATTTACTATACTTCTATATATTGATTATGTGGCTTTATATGGCTGCATCATTTTCCAAAAAGCATCATTATTGATTCTGATATCAATCTTCCATTAGATGCTTATCATTTCTTTTTATTTCACATTAAATAGTTGTAAATTCCTAAATGTCTCTAAGATATTAATGGTTATTTCAAAATACTTTTCTTATGTTCCCATTATTAATTTTTCTTTCTGTTTCATTATTGGAAATAAACTTAATTTTATTTATTTATTTGAACTAAAGATTGTTGATTTGTCCTCTATTATTAATACCTATTTTCCTAATTATTGATTAACTTTTACTTTTTCCATCTTTCCTATAAGTATTTTACTATAAATTAAATTTTATCTCAAATTAGATGTTTATCTAATACATTGATTATAAAAATAATTAAATTAACTAATATTGCTAATTATTCCTACACTATTATAATCATTATTCAAAAATTAACATAAACTCTATGACTGTAAAAAGCATTTACATAGTACAGCATACTTAAATTATAGAATTTATTCCTTAACAATATGTTGATATCAACATTGAAATATAGATCTTATTTTTTGGACTGATAAATTTACAACATAATAGAGAATCATTTATTTAACAAATTGTTCTTTAAAGAATCTTACTCAGGTTAAATTTATTTTAATTTTTTGTGTAATATACAAATCATACATTGCTTAAACAAAGTAAATTTATATTTAAATTATTTACATAGATTTCCAGCTTTCTCGATATAACTTATTTATAAACATACAGCTACAAGTGTACATTCTACACTGGATTCTATATGAACTTCTTAAATCATTATTTTACAATTTTATTACAAACTAAAATTAAATAAATTATATAATGTATTGCATAATTTAATAATAAACTTATACATGATACATGACAAAATATGATTTTATATTATAGGTTTGAATAGGCATATTCCAAAAATACTGAATAAATCTTAATTTAAAAAATCTTATATTATTAATTTCATTTTTTAGTTTAATTACTGTTGGTACTCATGTATACAACTATAATATTAAAAATTATTTTAAAATAATTTTAATTACAAATTTAATATCAATTTGCAATAAATTGATAAAATAAGAATAAACTATTTTTCTTATCATAAATCGTTTGGTTACAACAGCAAAGAAATAAGTAAATATCAAAGAGTATTATAAATTATTATATATTTATCTTCATGAAAACTGATTGATTATTATACATTAGTATTGATATTAAATTAATATCAAATATTCTAAGTAACAAATAATAACTTAAGTTTTATATTGTTATTAGAAAATTTACATTTAAAAACTTTCCAAAACAAAAAAAAAAGTTTATCAATTGCGATTTAAAACTGATTTAAGGATAACTCTGTTTACATATAATTATAATTAAAAAATATGTAATGAAATAAATATAAATATTAGAACTAGAACCTTTAAAAAAAATAATAAAAGAGCATGCCACACAATTAATACTAATTTATTTGTCTCATTTTCTTGGATATGCTATAGTATATATATATTTCAATAATATTCAATAATATAATTTAAAAAATATATATTTCAAAATACATCAATACGTTCAAAAATGAAAATTTGATATTCGTAATTATTCAAATAAATATCTAAAATTATATAAAAACTATATCAACCTCAAAATTTCAAAGATCAGCCAAGTTTATAATGCAGGCAAATATATCTGATAAAACTGTTATGTGCGAATGCATGCATGCATG